TTCGCCACAAACCTTTGTTGCCGTGGTTGTCAGTCATGAGTTTAAGGTTGGCATCAGAATGAATTACAGTACACCGATTACCGTAATCTCCAGATTATAAGACGCGCTTTCCGCTCCCACTGCACTTTTAAGAGAACGTTCGGGGCAGCCTACGCGTTATAATCCGGTCGCTGTGAGAGAGAGACCAGAGTTGAATTCAGACCAAAGTTGTCTAACTTTATTTGCCACCGGGCACACGTTTCGGGTGCGTCTTACTTTCGGGAGCGTTCTTATAATCCAGAGAATACGGGTGTCGTTATGCGTTGGTGTCAGGTCTGTGGTTATAGTTTAGACTGTTTTGGCATTGAAGAGTTGAGGTTAGGCTACATGAAAATTTGGGACATCTTGCACCCATTAACCAATTCAACGCAACTCTGGGTTTCATTAACAGAACTGCTGTAAATTAAAATATACAACTGCAGGTCATATTACTGTAATGGAATTCATGTTTACATCCTTAATACAAGTACTGCACATGTCGTTTCATTACGCATGGCTCCTGAAACAATTAATCAAACCCCATTCTTACCGTTGATGAACTCCGGTATTCAATTCATTGACATAACCACTGATTCTATTCATGCATTCTCCAGCTTATAAGACGCTCCGGAAAGTAAGACGAACCCTAAATGTTCTTGGATCTTTCGGTAAAGTCACGTAGAAGGGAAACAATTTAATAATAAAAATAAAACATAATACAATTCTCACGACGTTTCGGCCACAACACAAGCAGCCGTCCTCCGACAGCTCTGTTCTTCACCTGAGGACGGCTGCTTGTGTTGTGGCCGAAACGTCGTGAGAATTGTATTGTTTTGTTTTTATTATTTTATTATTTCCCTTCTACGTGACTTTACCGAAAGATCCAATAATATGAATCCCTGCAGTCACGAAAGCTTTAAATCGGAACCCTAAATGCTTGTGCCCGGTATCAATAAAGTAATATATTCAAACACAGATACATAAACACCTATCGGATGATAAGCCGCCGCGGTGGTGAGATGTTAACTCCCTCGCCTGATATGGAGGAGGTCGTGGGTTCGATCACGACCCTGACGCCTGCTGCTGTATATTTGGAGTTTGCATGTCTCTCTCTCCCCGTTGTCACGTGGACTTTTCTCCTGGTCCTCCGGGTTTTCCCTCCACATTTATAATGATCACCGCGCGTTTAGAGCAATGGGCCATTTACACGTGAGCTATCATTGGTGATAGGTCGCTTCTGAAAAAGAGAGATATAGCTCATTGGGCCTTACCTGGTAAACATTTTAAACTAGTTTATAGTGATAATAGTTGAGTTATACTTTTGATTTTAAACACTGTACGAGAAAAAAATGCATCATATCATCCGGAGAACATGGTGCACAGCAATCATACCAACTCAAATATCCGTTGGTAGAAACCCAGGCTCATTGAATATAAATCGGAGTTCCACTGACTCGATTGGCTCATTAAGCAATTCAGACCACCTCTTAAGGCAACCCAAGCAAGTCAGATCTCGGAAGCTAAGCCTGGATAGTGTTTTGGATGGGCAGACACTGTGCGTGCATCGACAGGTGCTGTAGGTGCTTCTTGCTGCTGTGGGGCTACGTGCTTGGGCAGTAGGCGGCCGACAGTACAGCAACAAGCCACATTGCTCTCCCCATGGTTGCCAACCGTCCCGGATTGGCCAGGAGTCTACCGGAATTGGTCTTGATCGGTCACGATGGAAAGCAAACCGGGAGATATTAATTATGAGATGTTTAAAAAAAAGTAAATAAAATCATTAATAGTTGGAAATCCTAATTCTCCCCATCGACCCAGTACACGACGTTGGGGAAGGGAGGCCCTCATCCAGCAGTGGAATTGATGGACAACTGGATGTATACATGTATGCCTGCGAGCACTTGTGTCAGTGGATGTTCAACAAACAGCACGTGAACAGTTGTATGTATATACAGTATCTACACATACCAAGTAAATAATGAAAAAAAACCTTAAAACACCGAGGAATTTAACCCTAATTTCAACCAGGTGCTCGGCGTTTGTCCTCCAGCAGCTGGGAAGCTCGGTTGCAGGGGCGTGAGAATGATTTAGACTTATTTTGGGGGGGGGGGGGCAAGTAGCCGGGGATAAAGGGGGGGGGGGGGGGCTATGTCATATCGAGTCTTCACGGGAGGGGGGGGGCTATGAAGGATATTATCTGTGGGGGTGGGGGGGAAAGCATATGGCTTGCTTGCGTTGCTCCTCTCCCGTACAAAATTTGCGGAGGAGCCGTTCCTCTCTCATGCCATGCGCAGGTTGAGTTGCGCACACGCGGCGTGTGTACGGGCACGTGGCTGTTGTCGCGCGAATAGGACGAATAAGCCAGTAGGGTCCATATGTGTGTGTGCGCATGCTCTGACGATTATATGAACTAGTCCCGGGCCTCCCTTAGGTCGACTCAGCCTCAAATGGGTACCTGGTGCGGTGTGTAAACATCACCGCTAGGGAGACAAAGGCGGCCGGGCGTGGTGCTGGCCACCGACGCCATCGTAAGCCCTGCCGGCCTTGATTGGCGCTCACCAACAACAAGTCTGTTAAGGCTAAACGGGCGGTCTTTGTCTTTTGTGCTGAGTGAGAGTTGTATACCTGGAACACGTTTGGAGTGCGTCTTATTTTCCGGAGAGTCGTATACTGCGGAGAATACGGTGGTCGGTGTTTGCGTCATCGCTGGCAGAGGCGATAGCAAGGAATGAGCGACTCACGGGTGTCTGGCTAACCCATGCAGCTGTCATGTCGATAACAACTTTGGACAATTGATAAGCCATTAAAATAAAACTCCAACCAGGCCATACACACCTATTCCCATACCTTATGGTTCTGTTGTCAATTACTTATTAGGGACACCCTGACCCCTCCCTCCATAGGCACACGTGCCTGTTTGGCATTTCTTCACTCGTGATTTCATCTCCGCCCCCACGGGACCCTCTATGAAAATTCCCATCAGTGCCTTTCAGCCTCCTCCTGCAAATTGAGCCACTGAAAAACTCTAGATCTTCCCACTTTAGAACATTGACGGAACACGAGGCACGAGGAGTAATTGAACATTGTGGGAGTCTCTCTCACACGGGGTTCGCTGGATGCCATGAGGATGGTGTGGGTCCGACTTGCTAATTCGTCGTTGGCTTGATCATCTTACCCCCTCAAGTCACTCCCGAGATTCAATGTTCCCATTCTCTTTCACCATTTCTCCCTCTTCCTCTCTCTTGCCTCTGCACCTCTTCTCTGCTCTAAATCACAGCCAGGGTTTTGAAATGAATCCGTCTTAAACTGACGTGGCGACCCCTTGTATCCTGGTTCCGTGTTCATGCTCGTTTTGCTCAGAAACAGAATATGTTTTTATACTCGAGGAATCTGATGAGCTATCAGGCTCTTTTCACATCTTTTTTCACAGATGTGGAAAATGCAATTATAGTAAAATAAGAGTAAAATTATACCTTCCCACAAGGCAATTTTTTTCCTATGTGCATTTATAATGCGGTAAATGAAGTTAATATTTAATGGAAACCCAGTGCATTTGACAACGCATTGGCACAAAAGGACATTGGTCACCAGATTTGCCAGATGGGAGAAACAAATAGCAACTGAAGATTAGGAGGTGTTTACCGCAGTAAGTTTGAAAAATAAGAATAGGTTTTACACTTTCTGGCAATAGAACAGATGTTAAGATGTTCAAACACCTTTTGCAAGGCATCAAGTCTGCATTAACCACACACAGTACGTATGGTGAACATGCAAACAAACATGCTCTGGTAATATATACATTGTCTTTGAAACTGATTGGCCTATACCAGAGACAGCCTTCTTTACAGCCTAGTCTCACTCAGTGTCAGACCATAGAATGGCAAAAGACGAACAGTACAACGACAATGCACGTATCAAATCATTTATAGCTGGGGTGAGCAGAGATAACATGGGACTTTTTTGCCAGTATCAAAGTACAGGGTATTTAAAAAAGATGGACCCGATTTGAAATCGCTATATCTCTGCAACCACGAACCGCCCATGAATGAAAGTCTTACCACTTGAAAGGGCGGGGCATAGAGTTTCAAATGATTACCACGAGATGCCTCTCTCAGCGCACAAACAGCCCCTAGCCTCAGTCATTCGCAAGATGGTGACCCCGCAACACAAGGCGTTTTGCGATCTGCAGTTAAACAAGACTGAATCCGTAAATGCGGTGCAGCGTGCGTTTCAACGGCGTTTTGACATTGATCCGCCAATGTCAAAGAGCATTCGTCGTTGGTACCGACAATTTGAGGAAACAGGCTGATTATGTAAGGGGAAGAGCACGCGGCGACCACGCACTTTAGAGGGAAACGTGAAAAGAGAGGCGTTTGGGACGAATTCAACTATCGTCTCGATGTTGTCCGTACAGCAGGTGGAGAGCACACACAGCATTTATAAAATGGTTAGTAAAACTTGATAACTCATTAAACGGTTTATAACTTTTTGAGTAATTGTGAAACATAAAAATGTGGTTTTACCCTTACTGGCAATAAAACAGGTGTTCAGATGTTCAAACACAAAATAGATATATGTTGCAAGGAATCAAGTCTGCATTAACCACACACAGCACTTGTGGCAAAATATGCAAACATACTCTGATAATACATCTATTTGGTGTTTGAACATCTGAACGCCTGTTTGATTGCCAGAAAGGGTAAAACCCACACTTACTTTTGTTAAACTTTGATACCGCCAAAAAATATCCCATACGTTTTAATTGCTTTAGTTATTATGAAACTTTTCCCCCATTTTATCCCACTTATTGCAATCGGTGTCATGCCATGAAGACAAAGTTACCATTCGGAATTTTCACACAGCAGTGCCATCCTTCGTGTTAGAGAATGGCCCGCAGAAGCGGACGCCACAGAGCTACCTCTGAGATCCCATCAAGCTCTGTTCCACTCAGCAGGGGTCAACACATTCTCCACCTGCTCTGCCACTGAAAATGAGGTTCGTCATATCACTGCCAAGCTGATCGTGTAATTCTTCGAGCTGGAATTTTTTGCCAAATGAAATGAAGGAGAAAATGTAAATTTATAAGATTTTTTTGCGTGCAGTCATCGCTGATTGAGCTGAGCCCATCAACTCTGCTATACTTGACAAGATCCACTTTGAAATAACTCTCTTCGGTTATTTCAAACATCCACTTAATTTTCTGAAAGAAAACAAAACCCGTCCACGCGTCAAAGGAAGGATCATACCAAGCAAACAACGACGGACGCAAAAACCCAACCGGTCAGCAAAACAAGAAATCGGCCGCAGCAGTTCCCTCCCATCTGGCAATGCTGCTAGCCATGCACGTAGGGTACGATGGGGAGTGGGAGGAGAGGAGCTCTAAGCTGCTCTCCCCTCTCTCTCTCGTCGTGACAAGGGACGGGTCCAGCGATGAGCTTCAGTCCCTGTCACGTGCTCGTCAGCTCCACGTGAAGGCCAGAGAGGCTGCAATGGAACGATCACTTTCAGTTGTAACAACAGTTCTATGGATCACGTCTATGACGTAGACATCGTAATGGCTACGTCATAATAGCTGTAATAATATATTGTTGTATTGTATTACTATGACTGTCTGTATTAACCACGCTCATAACCCAAGTGTGTCCTTAATGTATATTTATTTAAATGGTGCGTCTCCATAGAGATGCGGTGATGACCGTGGGTCACCATGCGGATAATTATTGATGGTCTATCTCCATGGAGACGTGCGTCTCCATAGAGACACATCACTGAATATGTTGCTATGGGGACAAGACAAGTGTGTTTCCATGGAGATACGTTACCGAGTATGTTTCTATGGAGACAAGTTACTGTTTGTCTCCATGGAGACACATTATTGAGCATGTGTCTATGAAGATAGGTGGCTGTGTCTCCATAGAGACGCATTACTGAGTATGTTTCTATGGAGACAGGCTACTCTGTCTCCGTGGTGATGCAGCACTGACCTGTGCGTGTTTGTTTTGTGCACGTGGTTGCAGGTACTGGGTGGAAACACGCTCATCCGCAAGCCCACGTGCCTCTCCCCGGCCAGAAAATCCACGCGTGACACTACACCCGCGTGAACGCACGACAATACTAACAGAACAGTCATCGTCGCCATCATCCTCAGCCTCCCCCTCCTCACCCTGAGCCTCCTCGTCATCATCCTTAGCCACCTGGGCCCTCCCCATTCTCATCCTTCATCACCTGAAGTCTTATCCTGTTCCTCATTCTACATTAATATCTTAGTTCTTCTCCTACTACTGTGTTTTTTTTTGCCCTCCTAATATTTATCCCACTTTTATTTCGACTGTCCTCCTCGTATTTGACCGACTTCCTCCACGCCCTCCTTGCCCTACATTATACACCCGCGACGATGGCCATACCTCGGCTCTGAATGGAACGGGCAAGTGGCCCGAGTGTGACTGCGACTCCGTTGGGACTTCGTGTGACCCCGTGACGCTCACGACAAGTCGCCACGTGCAGCTTGGATTTCTGATCGCTGCGGCCCAACAAAACCTCGATCGACGAAAGCCTCCCGGGCCACGGCACCCTCCACTTGTCTCTCATTGGACTTGAAGGAAGTGTGCCCGGCAGGCGTTATGATCGATCATTAATCCCAGCCAAGATCATCATCATACTCCATTCTCTGGTGTCGGACTCGTTTTCATCGTCAATGTACATTGGCTTATATAGCCTTGTTCAAAGAAACGTCTACAACATTTACATCTGCTATATCACTATTAGTGCTGGACAATTGGGGTCATAGCCTTTCAGGCCTGTACTTCGGCAAACCTTTGAAAAGTGTCCCCGAGTGCTTTAAAACCCGAGTTTGGCCATCTCAATCCAAGGCCTCCAGCAACTCTTGGACGGTGTCTTACTCCCAACCATCATAACCTTTCATCCCAGACGTAGAACGACCAGATCTTGCAGATTCTTCCAAACGTCTTCTCTACCAAGCCATCTCTTCTATTAAATTGAAACACGTTTTTCCTATATTTCATAAACTAACTTAACGTCAGTATAAATTTGAGGCCTGCAGCAGGCCTTAGCTGGACTGCACACGGCCAGCAGCGTCTGTACGAGGGCAGAATTGACGCCCAATAAAATAATCTTGACTCAGCCCTGAAGGGAAACTAAAAGGGTTACAGATAAGTCAGACTTTTGAGGATACAAGTAGGCGGGACACAGCGTGGATGCGCCTGACACAATATTGTTCACAGCAAATTAAAAGGGGACTTTTATTCCTGGTTTAAATTTCATTCGTGAATTCAAAAAGAATCCGCAAACACTCAATTCATTGTCAAGAATAAAGCCTGTTGGTTTGGCATTGAAATTGGAAATCTTCAAATAAAGTTAATTCCAAGTTTAATGACCTGATTGTGAATCACACACAGTTCCAGCAAATCCATACAATTGTCTACCCATATCCGAACCCAACAGAATCAAGCGGAATCCAAACAGAATCTGCTCCTTCAACCACCACTTAAGAATCCAGTGACAGCGACTCACGAATATTCTGGTTTCAATAACAAACAAGACAGCTTCCAACACAAGTGGATTTTTTCAGATGAGAACAATTTGTTCATCGGCAAGCAGTCAAGTTTCACCCGCCAAACCTTCGTGCGAACAAGACATCTGCATCGCCTGCGTCATTTTGTCTTAAACACAAAACCGCATCGCTCACCTCTGCATGTTCACAACAATGCCGGCCATCGCAGAGATAACCTCAGCCCTGCAAGCCCTCGCGGCCGCCACCAACGGAATCCCGGCCAACGTAATGACATCTCTACCCAGCGAGCCACTGGGCGCACTCTTACAAAGCATGCAGGGCAATCACCATCAACATCCAGTGAGCCACCACCACCACCACCAGAGCGCCGGTCTCCACCACAGCGCCGGCCTCCAGCAGCAGAGCGGCCACCTCGCCGACGTGATGTCCCTGAGCGAGCACATGGGCCGCGGCGGAGCGGATGGGGGCGGCGGCGGCGTCGTTGGCGGCGCTGGTGCCGGAATGGGCATCTTGGGAGCAGCCGGAGGAGGGGGCCTGCTCCACATGAAGGGCGTCATGCGGCGCCGGCAGCTCTACTGCCGCACGGGATTCCACGTCACCCTGCTGCCCAACGGCACGGTGCACGGCACGCGTCGGGACCACAGCCGATTCGGTAAATGGTTACCGGAGGCAGATCGGTTTTTTTTTGCGAGCGGTCAGCATTTGGTGACCGCACTCGACTGACGAGCCCCAATAGTGATGATGACACCACCGTGTCTCCAGTTGTCTCGTGTCTTTCTCGCTGCTGCCTGTCAGTTGGTAGGTCGACATTTTTGCTCTAATTTATTTTCATGGTGACAATACTCAAGGGCTCTGAAACGCTTTTTTACACCCTTCTGTGTGCATTTTGAAACGGGGAGAAGGGTTGCCGGGCAGTGGACAGGGGAGCAGCCACTGTGGGGGTCGTGCGTGCGAGCGGCACCAGAGCCTCAGAGGCTGCGTGCCTGCAGGCAAGGGCGCCCAATGATCCTTAACATCCACGGTTAACAAAAATCCCCGAAGCGTGCCTTCTCATTTTCAATTGAACACGAAACGGCACGTTCACAGCACTCTTCTGTGGTAATCTTGGGACAATATGAGCACTGGAGAATAAGAGGTCAGGTATTCTGCCCGCTACTCTGCCTGCGAACTCCGTAGTGTGCATTAAAGCAGAGAAAACGATGGGTATCATCTTCCTTGACTGATAAAACCCTCATGCATTACAGGTGTTTTACAGGAGAATTTTTTTTTCGTTTTAAACACTTTGTTGCGTTGTTATATATTTTTTTGAGTCCATGCCTGCTGGATTTTTTTCCCCTTCAAGTTTTATTAGACTGTGCCAGACGTGGTTAAGAAACACTCAGAAAATCTTGGATAAAGCTCGCAGGTAATTTTGGAAGCCTGCTTTTTTCTCCGTTCACTTAAAGCTTCCGATGCCTGACAGTGTTTGTCTTTAATCAGCGATAATAACGGCAGGGCCCATGCAGGGCACACAGGAAGCGGTAACATCTGTAGGCCGCGACGAGACGGACAAGGGCCAGGATGTCGAAGTGGGTCGTTTTAGTGCGCGGCGTATGGGTCTACAAACTTGGGGCAACGCTTTGATCAATTTGACTGGGTTTTTTTTTTACATGGCAACTCGTTAATGGCAACGCAACCTTAAACTGGCGTTTCGTTCATACCGGATCATCTTTACGAGAGTTATCGTGCCCCCTTCTCCGTTTCAGACAGATGGACAAAGCTGATGCATTGACGCTGTCAACCCAAGTTGGAAAGAGTTAAAAAGAATAGATTCTTAAATTTATTGAACCGCTGCGAGGGTTTAGGCCGTAGTGGGCGGGGGAGGGGGGGTGTATTGCCGCATGCTTCGTCTAGGACCTCTCGTTGCTGCTGCTGCTACCGCCACTGTATAAAACGTTGCAAAGATGACAGTGCTGGGTGAAGGAGTATATGATGATGATCTGTGGGATCACAACGACCATATCAAGATAACTGTGAACCTCACATTGAACCTCTTTGGATCAGGGAGGGAGGGGGTTCAAGCCCCGGGTTGGGTTTTTACATCGCTCGGGGGCGTTTGTAATGGCCATGATGTGACACCGAGCCAAATTCTTTGAGTTCCTCAGCTCGTGCCCTGGGGTTGGGTGTCCCTCGCGGGGGCTAGTGCCCATGCCAGGAGACTCTGCAGACTTTGAATTTAAGTGCTGCGGGTAAAAAAAAAAAAATGTTTCCCAATAACTGTGATATAGGTGAAACCATGTGCTCGACGTCGTCTGGGTCTGGAGTGATCGTGCACGCGACTGAACGTGTTGTTCCATGTCATATTTTTGGAATTCCGGTCAACGAATACATGACAATCGTCACCTCATCACGATAACTGATTTTGTGTGTATATTTATACTGGGAACTACAATTTCCAAATAAGCTTTTCTCATCACGATGTCATGAATTCGTTTGGAAACATCAGAATTCATAATTACGTTAAAAGGCAGAAGGTAAAAGTGCAGTCCTGCCAATTGTTCGCTCACGCCACTACGGGCTGAAGGACTGCACCAGAGGGAGCTATATAGAGGGTATTTGGCCTACTCTTCCATGCTTGCCAGACGTCTTGTGCGGGTACTCCCACCTCTTCACAGATGTCTTGGAAGAGGTGCGAGGCGGCAAAAAAAATCAGGTGTCATAGGCTGATGCTGCATTGTGGTCAGCAGAGACCAGTGCAGTAAAATCAATTGTTGCATTATACTATGGCCCCATGTCGACGCTCATTTGTCCGTCACCAACACGCACTGACGAGCGTAGTGAAGTACCGTCGAGTAACCTGCACAACGACCCGCACGGCGTGAAGAGGCCCTCGTCCAGCAGAGGATTGACAAAAGGGATGTGTGTGCACGTGCGTCACGGGTACACCAGTGCCACCTTGGGACTGTGAACTGCTGTGCCCTGCTCATGATAACAAACCTACTGCCAGCCAATTGCTGTTTCCACCGACCACTGTGCACTCGCTGAAGTGACCGTTGCTCACAGATGTGGCCCCGTCTCTGCTGCAGGGATCCTCGAGTTCATCAGCGTGGCCGTGGGGCTGGTGAGCATCCGCGGGGCGCACACGGGCATGTACCTCGCCATGAACCAGCGCGGAGAGCTGTATGCAACAGTGAGTCCACGCACGCACAAACGCAAGCACAAACACACACAAAATGGCTCCCCAATTAGCCTACCTCTCACAGACCTTTGGAGCAAGTGCTGTTAGCCAAGCACCCATTGATACATTTCATATCCAAACAGTGCACGATGGCACGGAGTGGTCTGCACCACACCTCGCTGTGTGAACTCGCAACTTTCCGATTGTGAGATGCTCACTCTGCCATTGAACCTACACACCGGCTACTGTACCACGTTGTGGTGCAGTCAACAGTGGTCGCCCTATGAATAGACTTACCGTATACCCACCATAGGATTGTAGATTTTATGCCACTGGCTCCCCGGTAAACATGAAATTTTGGGCTAAACCTGGCTCCAGCGTTTCCAACGACAATGTCCACGTTGGGCTGACATTGACATATTTACTGTTTACTGGATGAAGCTGGGGGGGGGGGGCTGGCTGTAAACGGTAGATGAGCATCGCCTCAGCGCTCAACATTGAGCGGAAGACAACTTCGACTCGACGGACCTTTCATTTTGTGGTCGCGGTGTGTCTCGTGTACGTGGCCCCAGGCCGCAATGTCGTCGGACACCATCTTCCGCGAGCAGTTCGAGGAGAACTGGTACAACACGTACGCCAGCGCAGCCCACCGCCACGCTCTCTCCTCCCGCCGCCTGTACGTGGCGCTCAACCGCGACGGCTCACCCCGCGACGGCACGCGGACTCGCCGGCACCATAAGAACGCGCACTTCTTGCCGCGTCCTGTCAGCGACGGCGGGCCGGGCGGCCGGCTGGGGGAGACCGAAGCCTCGGAGCGCGAGCAGGCGGCGCTCGTGAGGTCGCTCGGCAAGCAGCGCAGCTGATGGCACAAAACAAACGTTTAGTAACATTTTTCGGGTCAAGGGTCAGCGACCGTCGCGCCAGTTGTTGGCGATTGACTTCAACACCTTAAAGTGCACACGTTCGTTTTCCAGATTGTTGTTATTATTTGTTAGCCCAAATCATTATTTATTCAGTGTGTATTAGGTTGATCAGAATGCAGTGTTGCTGTTTAAGTTAAGTGAACCTCGCATTGATAGCGGAAAGGAAATAGTTCATTTAAGGTGGCTGGGTGGCTCTTGGGCGCTCGTCATCCTGAGGCAGGACTGAGAAGAGGCTGGGTGTGATCTGCGTCAACTCCTGTTGCCCCACCTGGTCCTTCCTTCTGTCCAGTGCAAGTTCGATCCGTTCAGCAGCAAAGTCGCCGACGAAGCACAAAATAGAACCACCTCGCCACTGGTTTTGCACTTCATTCGGTGGAGCCCAGGCCGGAGGCTGAGCCAGAAGGGTGCATTGTGTGAACAATTAATTCACCTTCACGACTAAGTAAAAAATGTCGAGTAGTTAGAGCACTTTCTGCGAGATAGACTTCTGAAAAACGACAGAGGAAGCCTGGGATGTCACTGTTGCATGATGATGCGTCTCATCGGTGTGAAGAAGTGCATACGAGTTTCGAATATTCACATTGGGGAGGTGGGGGGGTGGAAAGCGTAAAAACATGAAAAATATGACAATAATATATTTTTTTAAAACCCGAAACGAAAAATATTCTTGGACCAAAAACAGTTCCGACATGCTAACTGATGTTACACGATTATTTTAACACGAGTCAATTTCTCTGGCTGTGTCGACTGACCCTGGGATCTGTTGGTTCCTAGCTCCTGTGGTTCCTTGCCTCGCAAGCTATGTGCTGTCTCGCAAATCACACGATCACACCGGTCAATCACATCAATGGACATCACACATTTGGTGCCGGGCGACATATGCCTCAATAAGACGTCGATACCGGCATCTACCCAGTAAACATGCAACATTGCGCCATCAACGTTGGCCCAATATCGGCCTGACATTCAATATCTACTGGGCAGTATGTATGTCCTGTATTTGAACTTCTTTCGCACCGTACGTAGCCAACCATGCTAATCGGAGGTGCGGGGAAGGACAACAAACTCAACACAAAAAGCAGTTCTAAAGATGTAGTTTTCAATCTAGATTTAACAGTGCATAAGCTCCAGTGGCTTCCTAATATTGGAAGGAAGAGCATTCCAGATGGCCGCAGAATCGCATCTGAAAACGCGTGATGCAGTGACCATCTTTGTTCGATGGTTCGCCGAAAGCCACTGCGAGGATGACCGCAGTTTGCGTGATGGTCTATGTCCCTTTGCGAGATCAGCAAGGTATTGTGGTTTATTTGTGGCGAGCACTTTGTGTAAGAGGTCGTATATATAGAGTGAATGTGAAGGTGCGATGACCTCATCCGATTCTGACCACTGCCTCGGGACAAAGAGCGGCCCTGGCAGTCGTATGAGTGGGTAGTTGAGGTTAGAGTCGTTTCTGCAGATTGTGCAAGGTGATATCAACGTTTAAAATTAACTGGGCCCATATCACCCAGGTCGGGTGAAAGTGCGCAGTGGAATAAATGTAATAAAAATAAAAATTAACATGAAACAGAAACAATGAAAATAGCACTAAATATGAAACTTTATTTAAACTTAAATGCCACAGATGTAATTTATAGGACTCTGGCCTTTGACCACCCAGCAACAATGGACGCTGTCCTGCCCTAAATGGTGTGGCAGAGCCAAGACATCTGCTTCAAGAAGAATTACCATCGAATAATCACCGAGATAGCGTGTACTATTGTTCTCTTCATACGCGTAACTGAATTAGCGTAGTTCTAACTCTGACTTCTGCTGGTGCCCAACCCTCCCAGGACAGCGAGCCTCAGAAGGCGTTCTGCACTAGGACGAGGCTCTGATCCCAACTAGGCCGCATCAATCTAAAACGCTATAATCTCCGTTATTTATTACCGCATTGATATTATAGAAGGCATAATTTAAGCAATATTAACATATTATCATGACTATGCCGTTCCTGTATGTTTGATAACTGCCTTAAATGATCGGTTCTGTCGTCAGTGTAATCAATAACCGGTATTTAATGTAATCTCAATATCACTAGCTTTCTGATGCAGATATGGCTGTAACCAATCACACATATAATTACTTAGTTTGAAATTACAGATATCTATGCATATTTAAGGTACGTTGTAGTATACGTAACGTATTATTAATATATACAGAGAGATTACTATACTGTAATTAAGGTTGTATACATGACTAATAATAAAGTGGCTCTGCTGGACTAGAATTAGCGAACGCAATAGCCTGAGAGGTTATTAAAGCTGGGGTCTAACTCAGAATGTGGTTCTGATCGTTTTGGTGTGGGCTTGGGGGATGCCTCACCATTGCGGGATAGGATTCAAACTCAAGGTTCACGTGCCACTCATGTCGAGATGATCATGAGAGTGGCACGAGAATGTCAATCGCGTGTGTGTGTTTTTTGGTTCCGTTTGTTCCAGCATTGGATCCAGACTCGGAGCAGCGTGCCATTTGGACTCAGGCAGCGGTGCACACTGTGTGCACATCACACACTGTGTGCACCGCTGATGTTACCAGCAGTGCAGAAGCGCCCTATTTGCCCGACGTGATGACAACTGTGTACCGGTGTCACCTTTATTATTATTATCATCTTCAGTGCAGAGTGGCTCTGCTGCTTGATTTGAGGGCTGCATTATTACTGGTTTTACCGTTTTTAAGTAGCATAAACATTGCCGTGTATGTCCCATACCGTTCTTTTCAAATGCGTAACCCTTTTCAGTCTTCGATGTGACATGTGAGCAGTAGAGCCCTGCTGCCCGACACAACAAGTGTGTTACGTGGCTTCAGCCCTATTAGGGATCATCGATGGTGTGTCCCCCAACAACGATGCTGCCACACACCTTGAAATAACACTGCGTGGGGCAACTAAACCCATCCCGGCCCCTGTACACCTGGCAGTGTAAATAGGTAGAAACCGACGGTCGATCGACAGGATGCAGTACGGTGGGGTAAAGTGTGGGCACCTCCACCTCTTCCAAGACGTTTAAGCCAGTGTGGAAACGTAGGTAAAATGTGGGGGGGGGGGGGGGGGGGCTGTCGAGAGGTCCTTTAAGTGGAGGGCCTTCTGCCAGCGAGTGGCCTGGGCGAGTAATTGCAGGGCTACGCCTTTACCATTAACCACCTTTGTGTGTTATTCGGGGAGGCACTCGGGTTACTACAATAATGTCGACGGGGATTTTGAACACTGATTAGATGAACAGAGTTAGATCCATTCCCAAATTCTGTGAATGTACAGTAGTCCTGCAACTAATTTACAAAAAGCTATTTACAATACCCTGCAACTAATTTACAAACTTCAGGCCAGAATTTTTAAGCACAGTTGTTTTGTTTTTCGCTTTTTTTTTACCTGAAGTGACAATGGTCAAAGAAGCAAGTGGTAGTTAGTTAGCCGACAGAATGGGTTTAATTAGAAAGATTTTGACGAGATGGGGATTTGGCCAATTAAGTCGATTTCAGGTTTTAAACAACACAGCATCTTCCTCCCCGAGCAAATTGCCAACCACAAACGTTTGCAAATGAACGCAAAAGCTAAAACTCGCGTTCTTATTATGTTTAATGCAAAGAACTTTATCGACACTGAAAGTAAAAAGACCTTTTAGCGGTTTTAAAATAGACCGTAATAAAATTGGAATGTCAAGTAAACTCACCCGGGGTTTTATTTTTTATTAAAGTTTTAAGTGACTGCAGAAACATGCCTAATTAGCAAAAAAAAACATGTAAAATGCATTTAAGGTTCTATATTACGTTACGTTTAAAAGCTTGCTTAATTTAATCAGATAATTTAATAATTATTATATTTATTTAATGTTTGATTACTGTTATAACGAGTGCACTGAGTAACAAGAAAAAGGTCACGCAGGGCCTCGCAGACCCTTCCCCCTTGCCGGAATCACCTGAAGCCGATATAGAACATCGGAGACGCGCTGCCACTCCTTACACTGCTTTCACAACTGAAGAATTGTACATAAAACAAAAAAGGTTCCTTACCTGGCAAAGTACCAATTGAGGATCGAGCCACCCCTTTCAGTCGGGTCCAAGTTTAACTTGTTTGGCCAATTCACAATTGAGCATTTTGGAATGTGGGAGGAATTCGGAGCATTGTATGCACTGTAATGGGATTATTCTCAAATATCCACACAGGTCAACGATCTACATGCTATGCCATGTTCCGCATACCATCCTCCAGTGAACATGTCACGTAGGACCAGGATTGGCCCAGTGTCAACCAACGTTGGTCCAACGTTGCATCTTACCGGGCTCCTCTTCTTCCCAATGGGTATCTCACACAACAATTTTGCGGGGATGACCCATACACCTCATACAGGTGTGCTCAGCCACGCTTGGCCTATGCTTTCGGACAGTGGCCCATCTTTGGAGCAGAGAGAGACAGAGGGGAAGCGTGTCGAAAGTTGCGAATCATAGCCGAAGATGTCATTTCACATTGCGATTATTTGAAACCCTTTAAACATCGGACAATGAATTGGCGTACGAACAGTTTGCACGAGTAGATACCGAGTACCGAAAAACTCACTCTCGACGCGGCCGTAAGGGTTTAATTTTAGGCACATGAAGCAAATAAAATGTGCAATGTGGCATTGGGGCAAACAAATCGTGAGGATGGACGATTGACCAACGTGCGTACATTCGGGGGGGGGGGGGGCCCAAAATTATCTTTATTGTCACAACGTCTGCCAGTTTCTTGTGGCTAAATCACGTCCAGCATCAGTTGCAAATGTCACGCAGTTTTACTCCCCCAGATTCTTTCCATTGTAAACTGTTGCATGATGACAGGTTGTAATAACTGCTGCACGAGTACCGATTGATCAATCGATAGCATGGGCGAGATTAACTCTGGTCCGAGACGCCTGGAGTGTTTATGGCCCGGGTGGATTTGTAAAAGCCAAGTTTTATCTCCCCGGATGCCCTTTAAAAAACGAATTGTGTTGTCTAGTGGATAAGCGCCCTTTAAGACCGTATTGTGGGTAATGCTGTACTATCACGCATACGCCTTGGAGGTTGATTCGCCATGCAATTACTGCTTGTGATTCAATTCAATTCTGACTGCCGAAGGCTTCGTGGGAGAAACCCGCACCATCTGCTGGTGTGAATGTGCACAGCAGCCCGATTGTCAGCCACCAGGATTAAACAAAACACTTAATCTAATGTTCTAAAAGTTAATGCCAGGAAAGGGCAGTACGGGGACTGTTTCTTACGTTCATTTGTATTCATCATCAGTGCGTAACAAGCGCGTACTGATTTAATTCGTGTAGATCTATTGGCCCTACGTTATGATAGCTGTGTACTGGTTTCACCTTTATTATCATCAGTGCAGTGTGGCTCTTCTGCTTGACTTGAGCGCTGTATTATTGCTAGTTTTACCGTTATTAAGTACCATCAGCATTGCCGTGTATGTCCCATACCGTTAATTTCAAATGCGTAACCCGTTTCACTCTTTGATGCGACACATGAGCAGCACGGGACCTGCTGCCCGACATAACAAGTGTGTTCCGTGGTTTCACCCCTGTTAAGGCTCATCAGTGGTGTGTCCCCCAACTACGATGCTGCCACACACATTTGACAAACAGGGTTATTGGGGAGGGGGCGGGGTGGTGCGCGGGCTGGTGATATTTATTGAATACGTTTCTACAATGATCGCAAAATTGTGCCAATAATGAAATAAATCGTATCTGATGTTTTAAAAAAAGAAACCCGCGTGCACTCTTTTGTTCGCTGTGTTATTAGCAAGAGGGCAGGTGTGTTCCCTCTCCGCAGCACGGACTTAATTAAAGCAATATGACTGCAAAGGTCCTGCAATATTTGTCTTGAACACTGTGCGTGCGTAGTATGTGTACACACCACACTGGATATGGATCGTCTGAAAGAATACAACGTAACCTTAAGGCTAACAACACCTTAAAGGTCAACGTTTTCCAAAAACAAGCTACAGTTGTACACACAGTTTCCGTTGTAACAACCATGCCTGGGAGTTATAGAAAAGAAGACAACACAAGCCCCTTTGGGGTCAACTTTGAACCCGAACATGTCTTTGTTGCGTCTGAGAAATGGTTTAAAAAATGGATTGAATATAGCCTATAATGTGTGTTATCGTAATTTTTGGCTTCTTTTCGGAGGTGGTAGGAGCAAATATTCAGAGCAGGTGCTGATATCTATCCATGGGGGTTTTTGTAATTGTGTTGAATGGTAACGCCAAAACAATTGATATTGCATCATACCGCGAATAATTATATCGCAGCAAACCCGCATGCTAAGTACAGCACGCATCTTTCTTATCCCATCAACAAACCATTTGACAACGGAATTTAATATTCCCATAACGAGCAAATCAACATTTTTCAGTAAAAAAATATCTACGGCTTATTCCACGGTGCAATATACGGACAGAAACTGCACGCGTACAAATATTTGCACGTATTATCTAATCAGTGGCCACTGCCCAAAAATAAGGTATGGATTATAGGGGAGCGGCGATAAAAAAAAATAAAATCGTGAAGAATGTGCGTTTGGGCCGAAAATAAAATATTAAAAATAAAATAAGTCTTAAAACGTGGAGATTAAAGAGAGCGCGTGCCGCGCGCCCCTGGGATTCAGGTATTTCCGCTGCTGGACGCCTGGATCTTATTAGACACAGCCTGGGATCCCATAACACAGAGCCTGGGATCCCATGGGACACGGGTACACAATCCCAAAGGACATAACCCAGGCTCTCTCTAAGACACGGTTCCACGTTTCCATTTCACAATATGTGAGGCTCTCAAGCAAGGCTCCCTTACAACAGAACCCAGGTTCCATCACTGGTTCACGTTTTAGGCTCTCGTAGAAGACTCGCTGAATAGTCTCCTAGCCCAGACTCGCAGCCCAACCTTCTTGAGCAGGTGCCCATTAGACGCAGCCCAGACGCCCATCAAAGGCTCCCTAACCAGATGTGTCTGGTGTGTGTTAATTATGTGTTTACGATGTGTATGAGGTATGTTTATGCCGCATGGTATGAATGGTGTATCACTATGTTATGTGTAGCATCTGCCACGGTATGTGCTTGTTGCAAATATGTATAGCAGGCATTGTGGTGTCACTGGTGTATGTACGGTATATTAGCGTGTATATTATGACTGGTTTGTTTATGGAGTGTATATACAACGAATATTCGTGCTTTATTCTATGGTCATGGCAGGGAGATTCCTGCAGGTATCGTATCAGATTCCTACGGTTTCTCCCTGGATAATTCCTGCTAGAATCAGAGGTTTTCTAAGGGTGATTCCCACGTAAAAAATCTCCATGAACGTGAATGGGATTCAAGCAGGCCCTTGTACAATATAATGGCATTCTGTGATTATATTTGCGAATTCTTCTTCGCCAAGCTGTGAGTTATAATGAGCTAAGCTAAGCCAATTCCAGCCAGCCATAATAGAAATTCAAGCTTATTCTAGGAAGCCGAAATCACAATGAAACGTATGGCTGGTGCCGAGTGCTCTATGTGTCTGGATTCGATTCCCGCTCGTGTCCAACACCAGGTGCCAATTATCTGAACCGGTCCTGGGCCTCCCCTAGGTTGACTCAGCCTCAAATGAGTACGATGTGCGGCGTGTAAACATCGCCACTAGGGAGACAAACGCGGCCAGGTATGGTGCTGGCCACCCACCGCGTTGTGTGCCTTGCCGGTCTTCATAGGTGCTCGCTAGCAGTACTTGCTCCTAAAGTCTGTTAAGCTCAGAGGTAGATATCACAGCAAGTAATGGGTTCTCAATTACTTCGCCAGCACTTAATCTAAAAGGTGTAAATTCCACATTCGTATGGCACTGATACATTTTTCCAAAGCAGAACCATTGTTGACTTCCCACGATATGTGTGTCATTTATTTATTTCCACCATAGATCTGATATCGATGATAATGATATGATTATGATTTTGACCTGTGCCATTGCAATACAAAACTGGGTAAGCAAGGTCAGTCCCCCCTCCCGCATCCCCCCTCCCCACCTATCCACCCCCTGCCCGTTACACTTCCCCACCAATGTTACCGTATTATGCGAATTCTGGCCGGATGTTATCTATCTTGCCTGGTATACAGGAGGTCGTGGGTTCCATCCCGGGTCCTCCGGGTTTTCCCATCCACATTTAGAAACACGCGTTCGAGTGTTTGGCTGCTATACATTTCCACGTGATAAGTCCGTTCGTTGAGCTAACTTTTGTGGCCAGATCGCTTCTGAAAAAGAGATACATAGCCTTACCTGGTAAAAAAAAAATTGTTTAAAATAAACAAGACGCACTTTCGGCCCCTGTATCTGAAAGCAAACGTTGGGGATGGTTTCTTATACAGTAATCCGGTTAGATCTACAAGTGCACGAGGCCAGATCTGTTTAACTTGATCGACACCGGGCACAAGTTTTTGTTTGGGTGCGTCTTACTTTCCGGAACGTGCGTCTTATAATCCAGCAGAGCAGGGCAACAAACATTTCAACGGGCGTGCACTTATAAACTTGTGTCACTGTGGTAACGGCCATTCACATTTCGTAGAACAGACGGGGCCGCTGCAACCTTTGAAAATGGCAGCATACATCAGCGGCGACCAAATTGCACGAGGTCGTCTTGGGTGAACCCCCCTTAAGATTGTCCTTCAAGGCAATTCGGTTTGTTTGAAGTGCTTTTAATTGCAACACAAATTGTATGCAACGCTGGCGTTCATGCTTACGTGATGACTTCACGGACACTTGTAATGAGATCATATGTCCTGTCCTCTTTACCTAAATACTGCAATTATTTACCCCAATTATGTATAATGGTTTCTCGAATGTAATTTTACTATGGATGGTTCAAAGAGTTTTTTGTCCAAGTCATCGTATGTTACAGAAGATTGTGTTGATTCAATACTGATATATGGACTGCACAGTATTGCATAATTGTACAATGCGGTAGTTTTGTTCTGATTTAGTTTTATTTACTTGAATGTGTGCTTTTTTTTTACATTTTTTGAGTAATTTTAATAACTCAGGTCATTCTCGCAAATGAGGATTCTCTGGTTAAATTAAATAAACTATTAATTATACGAAGCGATGTTATTGCCTCATTTAATGCTGACAATTCAAATAATTGTGGGAGTTAGGTGGAACAACCTTACTCGTAAAACACCTTAATTTCCTTATGCTGCTTCAAATATATAGCCTCATATAGTTTATTTTGTGTATTTTGTGAATTGCTATGATCCAGAGTCTTAACTGTATTTTTTACATTTTATATAGTGCATGCTGTATCTAGTTCCAACAGCCCATTCCCACTTCTTTGATGATGCCCACAAATATTCATTCTTGTCTAAGAGCGTTCCCCTTGTAATACTTTCCAAGTCAAGTAAATTTTATTTTTGCTTACACATATGGCGCTTTTCTGGCACACATCTGCCACCCAAAGCACCATCTCAACTCAGGTTGAAAGCAGTTATGCATTAGCTCTGACCTGTCTAAAACGGTGGGGGTGGACAGTTAATCTTATAGCGACAATCCAATATAACGTTTCTTGGACAAAGGTTTGCCAAAAACTTGGGAAATAAAAAACCAGCGCTAAAATTATTTGCCTGCGCGTTAGTGTTGTCATATGGAGGAAATCGCCCCCAGCCACATGAATGTGGAATTTCCACCATTGGCTCAGGACTTTAAACAGGAAATGAGAGCCACCCTCAATGCTCTTTTGAGCAGGAAATCACCGAATATATTTAACACATTTTAAAATAATCAATTTAACCACTGCACGCTCTCAATCACCACTGAACGTGCTCCATATATTTTATTTGGGATAGGCCACGTGATCATTTTACGCCAAAATTATTGTCATTAAGCGCACACACGACTTTTGAGTTCATTACCTCATGACGCTCAGGGAAGTTTGAGCGAAATCTTCGTATGTCGATACTGAATGCGATCTTTGCAAGGTTTTAACCCTGTAAACATGGAACGTTGGACCAACATTGATCCAACGGTTCTAACCGCATGCCAACGTTGGCCCAACGTCTGGTATGCTTATTGTGAAGCCACCGGTGAGGAACTTTATTGGTCGGAATTCGATCAATACATAAGCCAGGTTTTTTGGGGTTAAATCGTGTAAATATATAAATGTGTCGCTAAACCCGACACCACCCCACACAGCCATTTAGTAAGGTTTGTCGCGTAAACAGAATATGCCAATTCGTTACTAATACAGCACACTCGTGTGTTGGACAGCAAAGCCACAACATTTACAATCTGAGTATGATGTTTCGCCAGCAATCACAACTAGCTTCATCAGGCAACAGCCAGATTTGTGGAGGAATCCTCCTGCTTCGTTCCTTAACTAGAGGGAGAGATGTGATGTCACTTGTGTGCCCTTCTTGCGCGAAGTAATCAATACCAATCACCTATTTGTAAACCGTGACAATATTGTCGGGCGGTGGAAGGTTTATGACAACTGCGGCAAAAAACGACCACCTTGTGGCCTAACCCAAAAACAAATATGGATCATTGTAGCTCAATCAACTCTCCAGGAGTGTGCGACTGTGGTCATCCATAACAGACGGTACATGTAACAACGCAATGCCCCGATCCATAAATATGAAGGAGACATCACCTCAATGTGAAATTGTAGTTGTTGCTCTGAATCTACATCAGTAGCCATACGAAATAAGCTAAACCTCCCGTAAATCCCATGACTTTTGTGTGGCCATCCCCACTCTGAATCCCTCCCGTCTCCCCGCCCCTTGTGAAAACAGACGCTGCTCCATGTAGCAGCACAGAGGCCCTGCAATAGCCTCTTCCTCCATATACCTCATCTTTCCTGACTCTTTGTTCCCATGTTCCGTTCCCTTTTCATCCTTCTCTAAATTAACAATCATATATTCGACTTGGAACCCGCACATTCGTCAAGAGAGACCGCTACTCAAGAGGAGCGAGGAACCACAAACCAGCGGTAAAGGCCACCACGTGATGAGCCTGCGCCAAATCCCCCTCCAAGCTCTGTAGTCCTCGATATATTAAAGTATCATACAATTAAGAGGTGTCTACACGTGGGAGAAAATCCACGCGTACGATGGGGCAATATTCAATCCAAGAACAGAAACGATATTTTGTTCGTCAAAATTTGCCGTATTGCCTTCTCCTGGCAAGCCAGTCCGCCACGGTAGGAGGACACCTCCTCGAAAGCGCCCACAGGAGTTTCACAACATTCGCGTGATCCACCAACCTTCACCTCCACAGCTCTGGATGACAGGCCACGTGCGTAGCCACCACCGCCAATTCTTTATCTTCTCTCGTCCCTTTTCCTTTTTCCCCATTATATTATATCCTCGACTCTACTGCTGCCCTATCCCGTCGTGTGTGCCACGGGTAAAAACGAAATATATAAAATTGCTAGTCGGCAATCAAACACCACCTTACGTTGTAATCCATAAGAATGTGGAATTTCCACCACCCTATTATGTCGTATGTGCCACGTGTAAAAAAAAAAATGCTAGTTGCCAAAAAAAATACCACCCCGCGCTGTAAGCCATAAGAACGTGGAATTTCCAGCATCTTATCCCATCGTGCGTACCACGGGTAAAAAATAAAAAAAAATTGCTAGTTGCCAATAAAAATACCACCCCGCGCTGTAAGCCATAAGAACGTGGAATTTCCAGAATCCTATCCCGTCGTGCGTACCACGGGTAAAAAATAAAAAAAAATTGCGAGCTGCCAATCAAAACACCACCCCGCGCTGTAAGCCATAAGAGCGTGGAATTTCCACCACCGGCATCGGCTCGACAACGAGTTTCGGACACGTGCCCACGGTTCGACAAACTTGCCAGGGCGACCCCGCGTGCGCGTGACGTCACGCCACGTGCGCGCGCGGCGTCGCTTCCGGCGCGGCGGTCGCCACGGCAACGCAAATCACGTCCACGCCGGCACTCGACGAGTCGACGAGGCGGCTGGCGGCTGTCTGAAGAAGCCACTCTGAGTCGGTCCGCCGTGAAATCGATACGCGGCAAAGTGGGACGCCCTGCGGCAGTGACAGCAAGGGAAGCGTCGAGCGGCGGCAGCTGGATGCTGTTAGTGCCCTGCCCCCCCCCCCCCCCCCCCGTTCGGTCAGGAACAGCGGTGACAGCGACGATATAGCGAAAGCGGACGGCAAAGTGTCCGCTGGTGACAAGGCCAGCGGCGAGCGCGAAAAGAGATTTGGAGGCAGCAGTAACAGCGGCAGTGTTGAGATATCTGTAGCTGCGCCAGCCGTAGTGAGAGACTAGTAGCTGTATCATCAGCAGCAGCAACTGTATCATCATCAGCAGCAGCTGTATCAGCAGCAGCAGTAACAGCGGCAGTGTTGAGATATCTGTAGCTGCGCCAGCCGCAGTGAGAGACTAGTAGCTGTATCATCATCATCAGCAGCTGTATCAGCAGCAGCAGAACCAGCTGTATCATCATCAGCAGAACCAGCTGTATCAGCAGCAGCAGCTGTATCATCATCAGCAGCGGCAACTGTATCATCATCAGCAGCGGCAGCTGTATTATCAGCAGCAGCAGCTGTATCATCATCATCAGCAGCTGTGTCATCAGCAGCAGCAGCTGTATCAGCAGCAGCAACATCTGTATCAGCAGCAGCAGCTGTATCATTATCATCAGCAGCTGTATCAGCAGCTGTATCATCAGCAGCTGTATCATCATCATCAGCAGCTGTATCATCAGCAGCAGCTGTATCAGCAGCAGCAGAACCAGCTGTATCATCAGCAGCAGCTGTATCATCATCAGCAGCAGCTGTATCAGCAGCAATAGCTGCATCAGTGAGATTAATGGGCAGCGGTCACTGTGCCACCAAGCACTGAGACCCCAGTAACTGTGACAGCAGAGAGAGACGTCAGGAGGTGTATTAATAGCAGCAGCAGCAGCATTATCTGTATCAGCATTAGCAGGAGGATCCAGTAGAGGCGGCTTGAGCTGTGCCAGTGAAACAGCAGTCGCAAGAGGCGATATTATAACTTGCAGCAGGAGCTCTACCAGGAGAGTTAAGCTGTAGCAGCAGTGGAATACAGCCGCAGCATTTGCATCAACAGCAGCCGTAGCGGTAGACGCAACAGCGCCTGTAGCAAGCAATCACAGACAACGACATCATCATCAGCAGCAGCATCAGCAGCACCAAGGCAGCAGTAGAGGAGACAGCAGGGAGGCAACAGCTGCAAGCAATCACAGACAACAACAACAGCAGCTGCAAGCAATCACAGACAACAACAGCATCAGCAGCACCAAGTCAGCAGTAGAGGAGACAGCAGGGAGGCAGCAGCTGCAAGCAATCACAGACAACAACAACATCAACAGCATCTGCAAGCAATCACAGACAACAACAACAACATCATCAGCAGCAGCTGCATCGCAATGGCGAGCGACAGCAGTCTGCGTGGGGACGTGGATCACGCGTTCTTCAGCAGCGACTCGGAGGCGGGGGTCGGGGGGCCTGGGACCAAGGAGCCGGAGACCCCGAGGGACCAACCTGGGACTGGGACCCCGAGGGCTGAGAACCACGTTGGAGGCCACACGCCTGTGCCGGTGAGTTCCCACCCCCATCCCCTAGGTTGACTCAGCCTCAAACGATTACTTGGTGCTGTGTGTAAACATCAGCGCCTGGGGAGACAAAGGCGACCGGGCGTAGTGCTGGTTACCCCCCCCCCTCCGCCCCTGTGTGTGTGTGTGTGTTACACATGTTATAATTGCTGCGGAGAACGGTGGGCGGCTCATTGTGTTTGTGTAAATTACGATGCAAATTGTCTGTGAAGCAAATCACCCCGAATGTGCCCCGACCTCGTCAGATCTTTGAAGCTAAGCAGGCTTGAGCCCGGGTAATGCGAGGATGATTAAAGGAGACCCAACATGCACCAACAGATTTTTGACTTAAAACTTTCGTGACTTCAGGATTTCATATTCTTTGGTTCTTTCGGTAAAGCCACGTAGATAGAAAAAAATAAAAGTTAATTAAAAATTACGACGTTTCGAAACGTCGTTATTTTTTAATTTACTTTTATTCGAAAAATTACGACGTTTCGAAACGTCATTTTTATTTACTTGGATTTGTTTCTATCTACGTGACTTTACCTAAAGAGCCAAATAATATCCACCAACAGGTTGTTTGTTCGGAGGCTGCTGCTTGGCTTCAGGGTGGTCAGCAGAGGGCAGTGCAGTCAAATACTGTACGTTGTCTGTACTCGGCGTCTTTCGCCTCGGTGTTTCTCACCTTCATCAAAGCCAGCCAGCACTGGCCAGCTTAGTGAAGTACCTGCGTTCCTAAGTCGAGGACCTGCTTTATATCTATTGTAAAAGGCCGGCGTTCCGTTTGTCCGTCAAATAAATGAAAATATCATGTCAGAAGGCCTGAATTAAAAGTTATAGAAAGTGGGGGGTCCACAAAAATTGTCGACCCCCCCTTCCAATTTTTTCACTCCCCCCCCCCCTTCCCCAAAATAAATGCCTACACACCCTACATACAATAGAGTCAGTAGTATTCACACACATTGGGCGGGTGGGGGGGGAGAAGAGGACATCAGTGGGGGCGAGGTGCAAAACGTGCAGAAGCCCTCCGCAAGAGTTAAAATAAGGCGGTCATAGGCCGCCGAAATTCTCGTCGTCAAAATAACAACGACCCGCAACAAAGTGTGGTTGAGTCCCTCATCCAGCAGTGGATTGACATCGTTGTTCATCTGTGTACACACACGCTCTGAACTCTTTGCACGGAGGGCCAGACTGCTTCGCACGTTATAATAGCCACGAACTACACACGTAGACAATTGTTGGCTTGTTTGACTGGGTCAAGAGTCCATTGAGACAGGAGGTATCTTCCTTGGTTGCATAGAAACGACGTGGCATCAAGCTATGCATTATACGCTGCAGTGTTATTCACCTCTCTCTGTGTGCCGTTGCGGTTGAGACAGCGTGTATGTGGCTGTGTTGTCTTTCTGCTGCTGTTTATTTAACATATTTCTGTCGGGATTTTTAAAAATTCTTATTTTTGGCTGCATATGCTGTTTGTGTTCATATGTTGCCATCTCTGGTATCCTCAGATAATTTTTCGTAGTGTTGAGACACTATAGATATTCAAGTAATCACATTTAAGATTCATCATTGGGGTTTATAACCAAAGGCATGCCTTACTGTTCATATGGATCTGTGGCAGTGTTAATCATCAAGACTTGGAGAGCCAAACTGATTTAGAAAGGATTATTAGGATGTATTATTAATACCTAAGGCCCTGTTTCATCTTTGGCAAATTTGATCAACAATTTTGCATTTAGGGGCCGTCCATAAATGACGTCACGCACCTGGGGGGGGGGGTCAGACATTGTGACGATGTGTGACGGGGGGGGGGTGAGAAATGTGACGTCACATCAAAATGCGCAACTTTAAATAAATATAGACAACACTTTCTACTTAATTAAATCGACTTTTAAATAAATGTATTCTCCTACAACATCAGAGTACAGCGCCACATTAAATACGCACTACAATGACAATAGTTTAAAGCGACTTGAAGCATGTTTTATTTTTTTGGGGGGGGGTAGAGCTTTGTGACGTCATATTTGAGGGGGGGTTTGACTTTTTGTGACGCCGTGTGACAAAGGAGGAGGGGGGGGGTCAAAAATCGTCCAAAATCGCGTGACGTCATTTATGGATGGCCCCTTATCCATCTACACATAACTGCCCTTGAAAAGTATTTAGTGTTATTTGATTATTTGAGGATTAAAGTACGCATTTATGATTCTAAAATTCACCAATAATCAAATTCAGTAATCACTACATCACTACTGTAGTTGTGAATTAAGCTCAGGGGAATTTATCCAGACCAGACATATGTCTCATCATGGCTCCGTACCTACGACCCCTGGTTATGATTCTGTTATGATGGGTTTCATCATCATTTACAGATTTGACCCTGATAAAGCCAACATCTGTAAATGCAGTGTAGAGACTGAGAGGCAGCTTAATCAACTGGACACTCATTACCTCCCTCCAGGTGAGACAAGTGACTTTTGGCGAGAAGAGTGACAGCGATAGCGAGGATGCGGAAGGTGGGGCGTCCCAAAGGGTACGGGCTGGGGAGCCAGCAAAGGATGCGAAACTCGATACTGCTAGTGGAGAGGACACCTCGGCAACCGGGGGCCACAAGGAGGAGGGTGACGACATTGAGACGACTCCACGCGCGGAAGTGGAGAGCCACGAGAGCAACAGGAGCAGAGGAAGCAGCACGAGCAGCAGCAGCAGCAGTGACGAGGACAGTTCCGCGGATGACAGAAAATCGATAGATGGCAGAACAGCTCAAAATGGTGCCAAAATTGAAGATGATGTGAAATCAGAAAAGAAAATGGAAAATGACGCCAAGTCGGAAAGCGATGGAAAATTGGAAGATGAAACCAAATCACAACGTGGAGCTCAATCGCCGTCTCGTACGCAGTCAGCGGACCACGGGAAGCCTCCGGATCATGCGAATTCACCAGATGGCGCAAGGTCAAGGGGGCGGAGCAGTTCCCAGGGCAGTGCCAGATCCTACAGAGATTCGTCAAGTGACACCGTCAAGTCCAGAAGCAGCACCGCGTCCAAGAAGAGCATCGCGTCACGGACCAGCGCGAAATCCAAAAAGAGCACAGGGTCCAGAGCTCGAAGCCAGGCCTCGCAGAGCCGTGAAGAGCACGGAACCAGGGCTGGTGCCAGCATCAAGAACGACAGTTCTAGCTCCGACGAGGAGGACCACACGGTGCCACCGGGGAAGGCGCAGGGTCTCAGGAAGCCGAGCCCAGTCGTGAAGTCGACATCCGATAGCCTAGATGGTGGCCCACGATCGCCGCGGCAGGCGAAGGCGTCCAAGAAACAAGACAGGAAGGCAGACATTTGGCAGGCTCCTGCAATCTGCTCTACGGTAAAAAAAAAACGCCACACTCTTCGCTGCCCCTCCGACCATCCAGACACATGACACGGTGCGGTGTTCATCTCTGTAGGGTGTCGTCAGGGATTGGTTGGTTAAGCATTACCCTTTGGCAGAAAAAAAGCTAGGGCTTGTTTTAAAATTTATGTTCGGATAATTAATGAGTAAGCATTAGTTCGGAGCCCCGTGACTGATAAAATAGTGCACGCTGTTGTAAAAAACTCTCTCGGCTTCCCAGAATTATGTATGTATGTTGAAATTATTTGGCGCCGTACATAGCCAACCGTGCTAATCGGAGGCGCAAATATTATGGGAGAGACACATAATGACTTTCAAGCCTAGCAGAGGTATTTATGTATAATATGTGCGTCACAGCTCCTTTCTTCAGCACCAGACTTAAAAAGCTGAAAATGTTGCCTTTGCAGAGACATCGTGGTAGTAAAGGAAGTAGGCAATTAGTTTAACTCTCATAATGTAGCACATTGTAGTACAGCTGTGATACCATACATTACATCCATATTACAGTTTTACCCTTATTTTGGATGATCAATGTTGTGGCCTGGCCAACATACTTGTCAACTGTGTAACAGTTTCGCTTTCAGCAGATATAGCCAGTAAATGAGGTGAGTACAATATATTTCTGCTACACTGTCAGGAAAATTTTTAAATAGGTCTACTGGCGATGTCCATGCCGTTGTCACTGAATGAATGTCAAAGCAGCATTCGTGTTAACCGGAGCAACTGATGGGTATGCCTGCAGGCAAAACCGGTGAAAACGACAAAGCAGTCATCCTCTTCGGCCATCTCCTCCTCGTCCACTCTGTCACCTCTCTCATCCGGTGTGGAGGTGAGCATTGGTACTACCTGATTACGAGTAATCGTTCAGGGTCTACATATAGTCCCGTTCAATTAGGAATCAGATTGATCGGGTTTTTGCAGAAAATATCTGAATTAGTTTGTTGTTCTTCCCACCGCACCTCCAATTAGCACGGTTAACTATGTACGGTGTGAAAGAGGTTACAAATGCGTACGTGGGATTCGAAAGAGGCGCGATCGATATCACGTGACGTCGTCCTGATCGGAAGATTGGATTCCATTTTTCTGATCTAACTTTGTTGGTTTTTTAATTAATGGCTGCAGGAGTCCCATTTGATTTGTGAATAATTTATTTTAAAAAATTGTTTCGTAATCAGATCACGAGTCAAGATTGGATTCACAAATCCATTAATGAGAGGCTTCAGCAGTCACAATTAGATGTATGAATGGAATCTTTCACGGTATGATGGAGCCATGACACACGTCTGTAATTCAGCAGTTCAGAGGAAAGTCCTGGTGGATCATATGGGCTTTGTATTTATGTTGAACTTCTTTTGCACCCTACGTAGCCAACCGTGCTAATGGAAGGGGGCAACACTCCCGAACGCACTCAACGGTATGGTAGCCATCAGAATTCAGTATGCAGGTGGGTTCATAAACCCATTTGTAAGAAACGTGTATGTTTGTATGTATGTAACTCCTTGTATGTGTAAAATTTAAAAGCTCACCTCGGGTCCCGCTGATTGGTTCTCGCCAGCAAAAGGGGGCAGGGCTAGGAGCACGCACGCCTATTGGTTGGTTTCACCCCGGCTGATCACTGGCGGGAAAAATTAATCATGTGGATGAGATCCGCTGTAGGGTGACGACGGTTTGAAGGGAAGAAGGCGACATAAAAGGGTTTAAGCGATTGGTGACTCTGAAGACAGATGCTGTATATGTTTGATAGGCTTAGTAAACAGCCATTCATAACTTTATATGTGTTGGAACTTTTTTACATATGTGTGGGTTTTTCTGGGTAATCTGGTATCCTCCACAAAGCAAAACATGTTATGGCATTGGCCAAATATCTTAATGTCGGACACCCCTGAAAAAAACATGAGGATTCAGCCAGTATTTTTTTATTAACGTTGTGTTACTTCATAAAAGACGTGGATATTCTGTAGTTATATCATTTAAGCCTAAAAGTATTGCACAGTACATTGTTTTGCAATACATTAAAACTCAATCACAATTGATCAGGATAAGTTCAAATGCCCAACCAGGATTGGATCTGTGGAAACCCAGAGGAGATTGGTTTGGAGTCACATTATGGTACCGATCTAAATCACGTGAGTGGGTGTAATCAGAGCCGATTCAAAATTGCTAATTTGGCAAGTGCAATACGATCTGTCGTAGTAAGTCGAACAGGAAATCAGTCATTATAAAGGGTTTATTTATCCAGTACGGTATGTTGGTGTACACTCTGAAATTTTATCCAATGAAAATCAAATGACCTGGAAACAGAATAATGAGGTGCTTTTCGGAGCCAGTTTAGATCATGTTTCAGACCTGTCCGTGGTGAGTTTTGAGTGTGTGCATGGGTTTGTCGAGAGACACGTGTTTTCTCCCATAAGCACCACATTACTCACCATAGGAGTGATTCATCTTGTGGCGATCGACTAATTGAGGAGTGGTGGACTAATTGCGTGATGTTTGATTAATTATTTACCAAGGGTCAGTCGGGTGGTGGGTACCGCAGCTCGCGCGTGCTCAGCGAGGCTGAGGATCTCAACCACCTGCTCAAGGCCGTAGTTGCTATGGAGACACGGCCCAAGACTCGGCGGGCACCTGGAGAGGGCAGCTCGGCCACCAGCCGAGGTGAGTGGAGCTCACCTTGCCTCACCGTGCCTCACCACCCCTCACCTCGTCACACCTCATCATACTTCACAGTGTCTCACCACACCTAACCTCACCACCCCTCGCCGTGCTTTGCCACACCTCACCGCGCCTCACCTTGCCTCACCGCACCTCACCTTGTCACACCTTACCTTGCCACACTTTACAGTGTCTCACCACATCTCACCTTGTCACACCACACTTGACCATGCCTCACCACACCTCACCGTGCCTCACCACACCTCACCTTGTCACACCACACCTCACCACACTTCAGTGTTTCACCACACCTCACCGTGCCTCGCCACACCTCACCATACTTCACCATGTCTCTCCACACTTCACCATGCCTCACCACACCTCACCGTGCCTCGCCACACCTCACCTTGCCACACCACACTTCACCACACTTCACTATGCCTCACCACATCTCACCTTGTCACACCACACTTCACCATGCCTCACCACACCTCACCGTGCCTCACCACACCTCACCGTGCCTCACCACACCTCACCGTGCCTCGCCACACCTCACCTTGCCACACCACACTTCACCACACTTCACTATGCCTCACCACATCTCACCTTGTCACACCACACCTCACCACACTTCACCATGCCTCGCCACACCTCACCTTGCCAAACCACATCTAACCACACTTCACCGTGCCTCACGACACTTCACTACACCTAACCACCATCATAATGTTTGCAATTTAAACATACTGACGATAATGATGATGACACGTAAGGTCACAAAGTGCCACACAACCGAAACATAATTAAAGTAGTGACAATGAAACAGCTTCAAAACGAAATCAAACTGCAATTAATGTGGCAAGAACAAAGAACAACAAACATGGTCCGAAGCATCAAAGAAAATCACGCAGCTAAAATGCACACGTGTAAACTCAACGATGTGAGTGAACATCAGTGACCAGGAGCAATACACCACAATTGCCAATGATGCGCTTTATTTGGCCTCATTCAGTTTCACCAAATCTCACCAAACCCCTCTGCACCACTCAGCGCAGCAGCTCACCGCACTTTATAATCACTCACCTCACCACATCACAGTGCGCCAAGACTCACCTCCTCTCATCACACGTCTTCTTTACCACACCTAAACGTCCCTTCTACACCACGTTGTGCCCCTACGACTGTTGACGATGCCCCTGCATTTCCAACATTCCCCGTTGTGTTCCCCTTTACGTCACCCCTTTACCTCCCTTAACCCTCTATTGTCTCCTGTTTGCCAATGACATCTGTGGTTCCTCAATGCCCCCCTGTGCCTCTCCCATGTCTCCTCGTGCCGCCCCTCCTCCCCGCTCACCGGGGCTCGATGTGTCCCCTGCGTCGCCAGTCCTGCGGGCGAGTGCCTACGGCAACGTGCGCCGTCCACTGCGCTCCAACTACTCGTTCAGCGAGGAGCAGGTGCGCAGAATCGACCGCGACAACCAGCGACTGCTTGAGCGCCTATGCCACCTGTCCCTGCCACCACTGCCCCCGCCCGTCCGCCGTGCAGGTATGGAGGCTGTGCAGGTGCATCCCAACGCAGGCACGAGGCCATAAGTAAAGCACCTCATGACCCCCATTTGAGAGTTCTACTTTCTTATCCAAGGCCCCCATCTGGATATTGAACCATTCAAGTAAAGGACACTCAGGTATGGGTCTGCTCAAGCACGGGGCTATTCCATTCAGCGTCAACCTTTAAGCAGCAGCTCAAGGCTCACCTGTTCAGACTGGTGGCGTGTCAGAGACTTTGAGCTCTCGCTCTGCACCTCCGAGTTCTCGATCAAACATTGTGACCAATTCGCAAAATTGTATTTATCATTACGGTATTATTGCGAAACCACGCAGCTACAAGGCCACGCATGTAAGGGGTATATCAGTATTGTACGGCTCCCAACAATATAACAATCAGGAGAGTGACGTAAACTGTGAAGCTACTTTATAAGGTTGGCATAAAGAGGAAGTGTGATTTATTTTTTTATCAATGTCGGATCTCGTTCGCCCTCTGCTGCGGGTTCTCCCAGAAGGGTCATCACTGGGTTTTGTCTGACATCCTTTACCACCACTAGATTGCATGATTAACGAGATGTGTTACTGTTGGCACACAATCCAAAGATATCTGTCGGTTGACTTTTTTTGAAGTACAATTCAACTGACAACAACATTTACAAATTGTAGCTCTAAGTTACACCACCACACATGCACTATTATGGGAAAGCCCCACAGTCCATTCAAAACCCCAGAGGAGAACTCGGATATTCATATGTGATCCCGAAATTATGCTTGACCCTCCTTTATTTTTCCATTTGTATAGTCCAGCAGGAAAATGTACCTTGTGTGTGTGTGTGGACTGTACCACTAGGAAGTGGGAGTGTCGTTATGGTTCCCAGCAGACCGTACCACACAGCTGTGACGCGGGAGAGGGCACTTCGCAGAATTCAGGAGGAGAACATGGTGAGAACTGATGAGACATCACCATACACACCATCATACCCATCAACACCACCAACAGCACTACAACATAAAGGCAAAAATCATCATGATTAATATCATCACCATCTCTCTCCGCATCAACATCATTAACATAATTTCCAATATCCGAGTACTCAGATTTTACAATCTTTATTGGCTGTGTAGGGTGCTGGCAGGTTTAACGACACATATTTACGCGACCTAACCCAAAAAAACCTGTTTTATGGATAAGAGACCGTGCCCACTAACATGCCCACCAAGATGCCCACGAACATGCCCACCAACATGCCCAGCAACATGCCCACCGACATGCCCACCGACATGCCCACCGACATGCCCACAGACATGCCCACCTGGTAGACCGGACCGTGAAGCAGCAATGCAAGCGGTCATATGGAAAACGCTGAGAAAATACTCAAATATGATGGGATAGCTGTGAAAGCACCATACAGATCATTTTAACGAATACTGTATATTGTGATACACCTTGCTGCCCAGGCCTACAACACTCAGCGCTAAGCAGGCTGAACCCCTTCGTTTTCCAAGAACTGGCAGACAGATTCTGAGTGATTCGTCATTCAAGGAATACGCAACCCATAAAAATATCACCATCGATACCAACACCATGGGCGAGACGACTCTGCTCATGAATGCAACCGTCAATATAGTTACTGGAGCCACACAAGTGTTACATTCACCCAAACACCACTGACAGATGTACAACCAACACCATCATCATCATCACTGTTACATTCACCACCACCACCACAACCGTCAGCATTGCCACCAACGTATACAATTATCGCCACATGGTGGCGCCACACGTACATGTACCGGACGTGGACAGCCCGTTCATCCACTGCTGGTAGAGGACTTCATTGCGGATCGTGGGGGTTACTTGACCGTGCTTCACCATGCTGGTCAGTGCGGGTTATTGAAGGCAGGGGGCATAGGGCGTGCTCTCTGCTCGCCACTATGTAACACAGCCCCGCGTTGCCAAAGTGAGCCTGGCATGCAGTGGCCACCTATTCAAGCACTACCCAGGCTCAAGTCTGCTTAGCTTATGAAATCTGAAGAGTCAGGGCACATTCCGGGTGATTTGGTCATTGGCATACACACAAATACTGGGCCTATATTTGTATGCAAGAAACATAATTATCCACACGATTATTAACGCCACCATCATCAGCACTGTTAAAACCAATTCGTTTGAGTAAGTCAAATGACCAACTCCACTTTCACGGACATCATCATCAATACAAAAGAAAACGTATCCACTTATTAAATATGATGTTTTTGTGATGCTGCGTTAGCAGAGGTGCACGGGTACAAAAAACAATGAAACTCAACGGATTCATCAATAACACTGCCTTAAAATTAAATGAATACGTGCAGCAGTTGGCAATGTTTTGGGCAATGGCTCTTCGTCATAGCACGTGTTACGTGATGTGCTATGAAGAGAAATATGTTGAGTTTTATTGCTTATAATACATGGAGCAATCAGGCAATTAATGGTCGAGGAAATGTTTGTGGTGATGGTGATTGTGCTGCTATAAACCGTAGTGTTGATACTGACTTGCAGGTGATGTCAAAGTTCACAATGTTTATGGTGGCGGTGTTGTTGATAGTGGTGACTGGTGCTATTGACATGGTTCCATTGATAGTGGGGTTGATATTGTAAATGGTGGTGATGATAGTAACGGTGGTTATGGTACTCGTGATTATTGTGTTGATGTTGGTTATGTTGGTCGTGGATTTGTCAGTGTTTTTGCCGCCTCTATTCATGACCGTGGCACTGTAGTTCAATATGACCTCAGTGGCTTGAGTTCGATTCCCGACTACAGCTAACGTCAGTTGCCTGTGATATCTGACCTGGTTATCTTCTCCCCGCTTCACCAATCCACACTGACCAGCATGGTGAAGTAGAGTAAAATTATCTCCATGGCTTATTCTATCATAGGGCCTATGAGGAGCAACTTAGCGTGAGGAAGTCTTTATCCACCAGTGGATTGACAATAGGCTTACGTTATTATTTTATTAAATATTAAATGTAACTTAAAGCTTCTAGGTGTTGCAAAAGTGGTGATTGTCATCCTCAGCCTCAGTTACAGTACAATAATTTTAATTTACATGCAGCTTCTAATACAACTGGATCGCAAGAAGCTCTACAGATCACTGGGGACAGCTATTGTATGGAGAGTGGTGCACAATTCACAGTGACGTTGATGTCCTCGTTCATGTTGTGTACAGCTCATACTGCGCCGCCTGGAAGCTGTGCGACCGACTCCGGGTCTGTCCAGAGCAGAGCTGCTCCTCCAGTACTCGCGCCAAGCAGCATACATGGGCGGCCCCTCCTGGGCCCCAAGCTCCTCGCCCCGCAGGGCCCGTCGCCTGGGGGTCCACAGCTCCGTCTAGAGCCCCCCCCCCCCACTGTCCCACACCCCACCACCAACTGAGGGTCTTCGTTACAACTCTGGATACCCTAACCAATTGAAGGCAGGTGCACCTCAAGAAATGGATGGCACTTATCTTGCAGGTCTGAACCTAGGTTGCGTGCCATCTGACACGAGTTTAAAGTTTTATTATTGAAAATAAAATAAAAAATATAACATCACCGTCGGGCGCTCTACGGTGATGCTACAATGACGTCGCTACATTGGAGCGTGGAACTGCTGTGAAGTGACGTCACGTTGACTTCACACGAGTGTCATAGTGACACACTTGACCATCATTTCTAGATGTATTCTTTCTCAATAATGGCACATCGAACTCGTATCGAATATCTTGTAATACACAGCCTGGGTATGTATCTACAACGTACAAGCTGCTTATCTTTTTTGGAGGGTTGTATCTTCCTTGAAGAGCCTCCTACCCTAATGGGAATTTTGATGGTTATTTTAAGGCACATTTTTCAATATAGACGACCTCCTGTCTGCTAAGAGACCTTTCATCCAACACAAATGACTCACCTCCACCAGAGGGGTATTCCCTCCACGGGGGTCCTATTGCTCATCCTAAGAGACTCCTCTTCACCTAAATCAGGGGTCGGCAGCCAAAATAACAAGAAGATAATTTCTCTTCGAATTCAGTAAAAAAAAAATATCAATATCTCAAGAGCCACAATGCATGTGATTATGAGACGGTGGTCCTTTATAATTAACGTCACAAAGCGGTCCTTAAAGAGCCGCATGCGGCTCCGGAACCGCAGATTGCCGACCACTGACCTAGATGATTTTTCCTTCACCAAGGAAACCTATTTTCTGCCAAAATAATTCTCTCTCCAACTGGAGGCCTTCTCCTCTACCTCGGAGATCTCTAATACATTGAGAACACTCGACCACCAAGGGGCCTCCTCTCCCTCCCCTTCTCTCCTCCAACGAAGGGACCCCTCCACTCTACCCCACAGAAACTCTCATTCCCTTCCATGGCTCTTCATCTCGGGACCCTCGTACAAGGCCACTGAGCAGCAGTCCTGTATGCAGCTGCCCACTGTTATCGTTTTATGGGTGTTATCTTTGACCTTGTCAGTGGAGGAACCTTGTAAATGTGAAAGGGTGGGGATGCTACTGCGAGTGTCGCTCCGAGCAGCCGCGCACACGCACGTCTATACGCAGTGGTCTGTTCACTCACATGTGTACAGCACACACCTACGGGTGCACATACAGCTGTGCACGTACTCCCATAGTTTGTTCCACGTAATCATGCGCACACAACACACATGATCAAGATTCTATGTGAAGCCTATAATGTCCGCTATTAATATTCCAGATATTTAGGCATTGGCTTAATTTGGAAAGCAACACAATTTGTCAAAACGACCTGCCTATATTTTACAAAAAAAGAGATTTCGATTATGTGTTTAATGAATGAAATGGCTACAGCAAAGAATTGTATTGAGATTCATACAATTGGCTTTAATCGGACCCGTTGGAATTTGACAAAACATTACCTGCTAGTAAGACTGTATGGAATTTAACAAAAGATGTCAACAGGCATGTTCCTGCTCCATATATTATTGCAGGTAATTACACTGATTACAATTTCCTTATTTAGGCACATTGCTATGTTGATTTTCATTATAAAGTTTAGTTCCAATAGTGCTCCCTACCTGCTGTTTGCCTGCCTGTTTATTTCATAGCTTTAATCACGGTTTACCTTCAGTAGCTTCCCTAGGTATGTGTATATATATATTTCGATTTAAAGCTTTCGTGACTGCAGGGATTCATCTTCTTGGTTCTTTCGGTAAAGTCACGTAGAAGGGAAGTAATAAAATAATAAAAATAAAACATAATAAAATATTTTATTTTATTATGTTTTATTTTAATAATAAAAATAAAACATAATAAAATATTTAATTTTATTATGTTTTATTTTTATTATTTTATTACTTCCCTTCTACGTGACTTTACCGAAAGAACCAAGAAGATGTATATATATACTCTTACGTGCTTTCCATTTGTGTTTCTTCTTGACATATGATTTGTTTATCGAAATTGTTGTGCATGATGTTTTTGCTTATTTTTATTTTCGGCCAAATATTATTTAGCGGCCTTCTTAATTTATCCAACAATGTCCTTGTAGCTTCTTTCGTATGGCGTTTAACATTTTCACCAGAACTAATGGCATGGCCCTTTACAAAGAACATTGAATAACAGCTCAAAAGGGCACATCAAGCAAGTAGAGGTGCACGTTTGGAATTATGAGAGACAGAAATGAGAAACACTTCGATAAGAGAACAACAAAGGCAAATTATAGGCATCGTTTGACCATTTATCAAGAGTCGGCTTGGTGAGGAACACCGCTTAGAAGAGATGAGATAGCCAGTGGTCGAGGCTAACGACAGAGTGGCAACAAAAGGAGGGAACATGCCCGAGAGGACGTTCACCGCAGAGATGGAGCAGATGCCTGCTGTATATTGGGGAGTTTGTGTGTTCTCCGCGTGGTCGCGTGGATTTTTATTCGGGTCCTGCGGTTTTAACCTGCACATTGAAAACATGAGTTTAGAGTATTTGGCTGCTATAAATTTCCACACAATATGCCAATTTGTTGAGCTATCATTTGTGGCCAGGTTGCTTCTGAAATAAGTAATATTTAAAAAAAACTTTCAACTCTTGTTCCGGAGCCAGATGGATTCGTGCATCGCGAGCGAGTGAGAAGCGGCAACAATTTTGGGAGGGCTTCATCCAGCAGAGGATAGATCATCGCTGACGATGGTGATCTTCACGTGCATTATTAGTTTTGTTCAACAAGGCAGAGCTACTCGCCCATTGCAAAATAATCCATCTACTCTGGGCTTTGTCGACTGCCTGATCCAGAACCGGCCCTAGACCTTTGGGGGCCCTAAGCAAAATTTAGGTTGGAGGCCCCTTCGATGTATAATTTTTTTTCACCCACTCGCTAGCAGTGACTCTAGGGGGCCCTCTGCTGGCCACGGGGCACTTTGCAATTGCAAGGGTCGCTTAGTGGCTGGGCCGGCTCTGCCCTGATCCAAACTCAATTGTTCCCAATCACTACGACCATTATTGACCAATACTTTTCTAACTGTATTTAACAGGCCTACTCGTGAAAATCTGAAACTGAATCGTATTCTCAGCATTGCCAAACGTAATATATAACTCTATATGTTTACTGTTGATGCTATTCTTATAACTCAAACAGTTTCTACATCATGGGACCTCCTTTGCCAGTACCAAAATATGAGAATAGATGTTAAAACACTAAACTGAAACCTTTTTCAAGGAATCGTATCTGCATTAACCACAATACTTGTGGTCAAAATGCAAACAAAACACGTACTCTGATAATATATGCATGGACTTTGAAACTGATTGGTCCACACCAGAGACAGCAACACAACGTTTTGAGACGAGGCTCAAAAGAAAGCTATTTTTATGATAGAATATAGTATTGTCATCAGTATGACATAAGTATACCAAGTTTGCAGTCGCTACCACATTGGGAAGTGGGTTAAAATTGAGTTACAAGATTTGAGGATACAACAACAGACAGAGTTAATAGAAAGCGTGTAATAAATAGAGCTATAAAGCTCAATGGTCTTTACCTGGTAAAATAATAAATAGTATAGTCGTATAACACAAATCTACATGTAAAAAAATATATCAGTCAGCATAGTTTAGAATTTTGTCATACAGTCTAGTAAAGACTCTTTGTGACCGAAACATCCAGGGGTGTTCTTTATGGAGTATATAATATGGCCTGTGTAGGACCTATATAGGTCTCTGGCCTCGGTTAAAAGAAAAATTCGTGTCCGAATAATAAGAGCAATAGTGTGCTGCGCCACCTGGCGGACATTACATATAACGCCGGCTTCACATTGTGCATACGGAGGGAATGGCTTACAGATGATGTGGGAAGAATCACCCCGTTTCCTAGGATGGGCTGCTCTCCAGTTTCGATTTATGAAAATAATTATCTTTAATATTTTGATGAAGTTACATGTTTTCCACACCAAGCATGAAAACAGCTGCCCCCATGGTTACTAAAGCTACAGTGTCCATGTGGGTCATAGTTTTATCATGAGGGCAAATCTCGCAACTTCACAATCACATCAACAAATCCCAAGTGACTAAATCACATCGTATCGTAATATGCGGTTGCTGCTTCAATTACCTTGCTAAGCCATATTTTGTTGCTTCTGTTCCTGGAAGGAAAATACGATTTAAAATAAATGGCTGTTCAGGTTTAGATGAACCACATTCCATTATTTTCATCACGCACGGGTATCTTAAATTTCGTGGGCCGTTAGTATTTGCGTGTTATCTGTACGTTGATCTCTGAAATGTCTGAATTCCGAATAAAGTATGAATTAACAATTCATCTCACAATGGTCAGTTTTACTTTTAGTAATCGTGACGACGTTTATCCCACAGTGTGTTCCCAGATTAGTGAGTAAAAGCGACGCTCAGTGGCCTCATCACCCATTGAGCTGTGAAGGCGAGGGTTGGTGGATTACATGTTGTGAAACTCCCTCTGATGACGGAGGCTTGTGTTGCTTCCAAAACGTCGTGATTTGATTAACTTTATTTTTTTTTACCTACGTGACTTTACCGAAAGAACCAAAGAGTATGGATCATTGCAGTCACGAAAACTTCAATCTAGAACAAAGCCTATCTTGCCAGGTGAATGCGGTACAGTAAAGTGTGGCGTAATCATCTATCCTTCTGAATGAAATAGAATGTTGCCTTCCACATGTATTTACACTCATTAAATGGCGAAAAAACATCTTCACATATGAAGGACTGCAGAGCTTGCACAATTGCGTCGGCTCACTGCCTGGTTGCCTTAGATTTGTTTTCTTTTAAGGACATTTTATTCACGAATGTGTTGAATGTTCATGCATGAAAGCGACATTTGTAAATGTTAGGTTACTTAACATGTGACGTGGCGGGAAGGTCCGTTCCCCGGTGTGACGATCCCTGTTACCTGCGTCGCTTTACGAGAAGGGGCGTTTGTTTGTCACGTTGCGTGACGTGGAAATCGTCCATAAACGGATGAAAGGTTTCTGCATTTTTGGGTTATGCCCTGGGGTCGTTGCGAAACAGCAGGGGGTTTTAAGTGACATTTAAATACTGCGACTTTGGTGACAACAAAAATGCAATTGTGTTCATATATATTATACACTCATATCTATTATAGGCACAAACAAAGTTATACAAAAACTTATGGTAATTGTTTTTGTATCTTTATATTTATTACGAGTGACAATGTACGTCAATTTATTATCAAATGCATATTTGTACTCTTCATGATATTTAGTCACGGATGTTTTTCCCCTGAAAAGTAATTGTGATTTTTTAAACCCATCCAGTAATGTGACGATCTCACATTGCTGATGTGTGTGTAATTACTACATGGGGACACACGGGGAGACGCAGAGACACGGAGACACATTACTGATACGTGTTTCTACTACTAGAAAAGTCAATCAAAGTACTGTGCAGGCGTTTGTTTAGCAGAGTCAATAAAGGCCATCTGTCGACTACAATTATAGCAGAATTCAAGAATCACATGAACACAAACACTTAGTGTAAGCTTATGTTAAATTAAATCGTTTACGTATACTTTGTCATCTCACATCGAGTATATAAATCAGCAGCAAAATATATATTTGTGCTTACCTAGTAAGCATGCCAACGTTTTATAATTTACTGAATATACGACTTTCTACGTCGGCCAGCACCAACTGCAATCTGACGCCCATGGACAATACAATACACAGCAGTAACTAATTACAGTCACGACACGCATCTGTTAGACAGGTTCACAAAACACGTTAAACCTGCTCTTCCATTTCCACCTGCCATATAGCCGACGAAGTTTGACAAGTAAAACCAGCTTCCCTGGACGCTGTGGCTTGGCCAATGTTGTGGCTTGGCTCTGCAACACACCGGTGCTGTACTAGTGACGAATTGGTATGTTATGTTTACGTAACAACCCTTACGAGTTGGCTGTGTCGGGTGGTGGCGGCGGCTTTACCGACACATTTATATATTTACGTGATCTAACCCAAAAAAACCTCATATTGTTTAGTTTTTTGGCCTTCCCCCGCACCTCCGATTAGCACGGAGCGAAAGAAGTTCAACATAAGGTACATACAAACGTAGCCCGTGGTCACATCTAGGAGCGGCGCCTGTTCGCCCGTGTCACAGTGCAGCACAGCGTTCCGGAAATGTGCGACGATGAATATCGAAACGACGTCAATCAAAGCGATGTACAGGGCAGGTGGTGGAGGCGAAGGCTGAGAGGCGACGGAAACGAGAAAAGACGGACGATGCTTGTCGGAGACGTCCGCGTGGGGTTGAGGCGACGCGAATCGGACAGCGGTGTTGATAAAGTGCCGACGTCGGTGTGGAACGACGTTAAAGGGGGAAGACGTAAGTCGGGGTGTTTATACTGCACTGCAGACTGTCTCCGAACGCTCACTCGACTCGAAATGAAGCAGCAGATGCGCATCCGATTTCCCACTTCACTAAGGCAACAACAACAACTTCCTAGCGTTGTTCCCGCTGTGGCGCAGGGTCCGCTTTTCGGCATTGTCTTCTCCATTTGGCTCGGTCCAGGGCATCTTCAGGGGATGCGTTGACCGTCTTCATGTCTTCCTTTATTCGGTCCATCCATCGCTTCTTCGGACGTCCGCGTGGACAGCGGCCCTCTGACTCAATACGCACGGCAGTCTTGGCCACTGATGACTCTTCACTTCGCATCACATGGCTGTACCACCGAAGCCTTGCCTCAAGCATCTTGTCCGCAATGGGGGCCACACCAAGTCGCTTCCGAACGTCTTCGTTCCTGACACGATCCCATCGAGTGAGCCCGAGGCTCCATCTGAGCATCCTCATCTCCATGGTGTGGAGAGCTTGTTCGTGCACAGTTGTGGCTGGCCAGCACTCGGATCCATAGAGTGCCACCGGTCGGACGATGGTCTTGTATATTTTTCCCTTCAGCCTATCCGGCATTTTCCGATCACAGAGGACTCCCACTTCACTAAGGCAACCTATAAAAAAAAGATTTAACATTGTACCGAGATTGCGTTGGATGAATCGGAGGGAAACGCATAAGGGCAAGGAATGCGGTGGGTTGCCACTGGTAATTCGTGATTGCCCGTGGGAATAACTTTATTCGCTTGGCTCCAAAGACAATCATCACTCGTAGAGCTTTAACAGACTGCTGGGGCAAGTGCCTGTGAGCGCGTAGCACCTGACGAAGGCCGGGCACGGCACGCGGAGCGGTGGGTGGCCAGCGCCACACCGGGTCACCTTCGTTTCCCCGCTGGCTCCGCTTACACACTCGCACCAGGTACTCATTTGAGGCTGAGTCGACCCAGGGGGAGGCCCGGCACTAGGTTCAGATAACCGTCGGTGGCCGTGAGCGGCAAATCGGAACACCGGACCCGCCGGGGTTCGTAGCACGACGCGCGCTAACCGGACGCGCCACCGCTCCCCCGTATTAGGGCACCCCCCCCAGCTCCCTCCCCCCAGGCCGCTCCCTCCCAGCTCAGTCCGCCCAGCCCAACCCAGCCCGCCTGCCCGTCCACTGACTTCGCCTGCACCCCACAGGAGACGGCTGAGCTCACGCAGTCGCCGACATCCGAACCGTGGCGGTGGGGAGCGGACAGACGCGTGTCCAGCGCGACAGGTTTGCATGAAACTGTCACACACCATGCGGTCTGTACCCCCCGTGTTCTTCTGTCTTGGACAGGGAAATTGAGTTTCGAGGTCCGTGCGGCGTATAGTTGTTTCAATACGGGCAACTAAAACTGTCTGTTTGTGTTTCTCCCCTTTGGTGTGGGACTTTACAAGGGGCACGGGGTGATCAATACGATCTGAATCGGTCTGTAACAAGGTAGGCAGCACTGTTAAGGGGTCGACAGGTATGGCTATGTTCGTACGCGCTGCGCGCTGAACTTCTTTCGCACACCGCACGCGTGGCCAGCCGTGCGAATCGGAGGTGCGGGTGGAGAAGGACACGAACTAAGCAAGCACACACGCAGCGTCTCTCGCACACGCACACAGCGCCTCTCACACACACACAGCGCGTCTCTCACACACGCACACAGCGCCTCTCACACACGCACACAGCGCCTCTCACACACACACAGCGCGTCTCTCACACACGCACACAGCGCCTCTCACACACGCACACAGCGCCTCTCACACACACACAGCGCCTCTCACACACGCACACAGCGTCTCTCACACACGCACACAGCGCCTCTCACACACACACACAGCGCGTCTCTCACACACGCACACAGCGCCTCTCACACACACACAGCGCCTCTCACACACGCACACAGCGTCTCTCACACACGCACACAGCGCCTCTCACACACACACACAGCGCGTCTCTCACACACGCACACAGCGCCTCTCACACACGCACACAGCGCCTCTCACACACACACAGCGCGTCTCTCACACACGCACACAGCGCCTCTCACACACGCACACAGCGCCTCTCACACACACACAGCGCCTCTCACACACACACAGCGTCTCTCGCACACACACAGCGCGTCTCTCACACACGCACACAGCGCCTCTCACACACACACAGCGCCTCTCACACACACACAGCGTCTCTCGCACACACAGCGCGTCTCTCACACACGCACAGCGCGTCTCTCACACACACACACACACAGCGCCTCTCACACACACACAGCGCCTCTCACACACACAGCGCGTCTCTCACACACACACACACACAGCGCCTCTCACACACACAGCGCCTCTCGCACACACGCACACAGCGCCTCTCACACACACACAGCGCCTCTCACACACACGCACACAGCGCCTCTCGCACACACACAGCGTCTCTCGCACACACACAGCGCGTCTCTCACACACGCACACAGCGCCTCTCACACACGCACACAGCGTCTCTCACACACACACAGCGCCTCTCACACACACACAGCGCGTCTCTCACACACGCACACAGCGCCTCTCACACACACACAGCGCGTCTCTCACACACAGCGCCTCTCACACACACAGCGCGTCTCTCACACACGCACGCAGCGCCTTGCACGCACACACAGCGTCTCTCGCACACACACAGCGCCTTGCACGCACACACACAGCGTCTCTCACACACGCACACAGCGCCTCTCACACACACACAGCGTCTCTCGCACACGCACACAGCGCCTCTCACACACACAGCGCGTCTCTCGCTCGGAGGTGACGGGGGTCTCACTCGGCAAGCTGCGGGTTAAAGCATCACCGTTGCCGTGTGCGCTGCTTTGTTCATAGAGTGAGCGAGTGGCGCAAATCCGCGTGATGTCGTTAACAGACTCCACGCTTGCTGGAGAACGGTGAAAGCAGTCGGCGTGGTGAAGAGATCGACCCAGTCACACTCCTCTCCTTCCAGTTTGGAGCCATCAGGCGACACCGTCTAATGGAGGCGAGTTTCAAGGTCGTCGAGATGTCTTTGGGGTTTAACACGTTGTAGGAGGATTTTGCGACCAATATCATCCATAATAGAGGGTCTTTTGGGGGGTTAGATCGCGTAAATATATTAACGTGTTGTTAAAACCCGCAACCACCCGACACAGCCATTGTTTTGCTATGTTGGCTATGTATAGTAGTAAAACTATCTTCTTGGTTCTTTCGGTAAAGTCACGTAGAAGGGAAATAATAAAATAATAATAATAAAATACAAGAAATAATGCTTAATTATTTTATTATTTCCCTTCTACGTGACTTTACCGCAAGAACCAAGAAGATGAATCCCTGCAGTCACGAAAGCTTTAAATAGCAAAACTATGTTTCTTGCGTCCGTGTTCACTTACTGTATTCGAAAATACGTCCCTTAAAAACGTGTGTAGCTGGGAGCGGTGGCGTACGATGCGCTTTAAATGCGAGGGTTGGTGGACGACGCGGGTTTTGCCACACTCCTGGACCTACTGGCCTGCGAGCTAACCAGTAGTTGGGAGTACAGCAAGTGGGTCGACTCCATCTGTGCGGACGTTTGAAATGGCGTTAACCCCTTGTATCCCAAACGCTCATTCGTGGACTCGTACAAACATCCTCGTACCGTAACCCTCCTGAACGCGACGGGTCTTAAGACGTTGTAAGGCTGTCTTGAATAAACAACGGGATTTTTAGTCGGTGTAGGTTGGTAATGCAGCCATTGTACGGCATTGTTGTGTCCAAATGTCGAAAATGTACTGCTGTACTTCCCATTCCGAAAGAACCAGTTGCACGTTAATTTTGTTTAACCAGGTGGTGAGAACTCAAGAGATCAGGCTAAAGTCCAATTTGCAAGAGCGCCTTGGGTCACCAAAATGACCAAAGCAAAACAGAATAAATGAAGTAGAACAAATTAAGAAAATAGAAATAGGCGCAATGAACAAGGGGGCAGCACTTTCCACCCACCCTGCCACTGCGAGGACCGTTTGTCGTACAAGTCAAACCGACGTCTGTAATAATTACCAGAGCTGGAGTTTAGCCAAGTTGGCTGCAAACCCCCACATTTTGTAATGCTCTGTCCGAACATTGGTAACGTCTGAGACCATCAAGTTGCTACGTTTGAGGACTCGGTTTGGGCGCGCAAGCAACCTCCTGGATTCGACCCCAGGAGCTTGGTGGCGCCAGCTCAGCGATCCGACCTCTGAGCCACCTGGTCCTTGATAGTGAATAAACCTAATAATAAGTATTCATCTTAAACCACCTACTCTCCAATAAAATAAAATAAGAATCACTCAATTGGCTGTTTTAGGTTCCTTGAGTTTTTATTCACGAAACCCCTCCATTGTGGTGGTCGATATCCTGCATTCTCGCTCAAAGTCCCACTGACTTTAGTTTTACAAAACTTTCAGGAGGTGGGACAACTTCGGATGAGAAATCTCCTGCCTGTATTTTGATGAAATTTAATTGGGCACCATAGTAGCGAAGAGATTCTATGTCCCCTGACAAATGCTATCTCCCCTGACGAGGCCTGTTTTGAGGTTACATATTCTTTCTCCCCGTGGTCGAGTGGATTATTCTCTGGGTTCCTCCGATTTTTTCCCTCCACATTTATAAATGTATATTTAGATCGTTTTACTGCGACTATAAATTTCCACGTGTAGCTCCGTGGGATTTTTCTTGGTAAATGAAATAGTTTACAATAATGGGTGTTTTGTTTTTGCAGGTCAACTTGGACTTCCTCAAAACTCTGGATCGATTTGACAAAACTAGTAATGCTGTCCATGGGAAAATAGAGAAATGCTGCCAACACCTGGAGTCTTTTATTGCATCCACGTTCAGCAGCTCAGAAGGCAGAGTCCAGGAGATCCGAAAAGACCTCCAGCCAATCTCCACGAGATACAAAGACATAAGCACCAGGACCAGCTTTCTTGTGCAACGTGCAAAATCCAGAAATGACCACTATTTACAAGTGGCATATAAGGTTGTGGAGGATAAAATTTCCCCAGAAGAAGCGGGGAAGGAATTCGCATCAGAATTGCATGACCTCGTGACATCACTCAGAAATATTATTGGCGAGCACAACGAAGTCGTCCTGTTCCTTCGTAGGGCAGTTGATGTATCTCAGAAAATTACTGGGGATGAAAGAAAACATGCGAATCGAATGCAATTTTTACAAACTGTGTTGACCTACACAGCAATAATGTCATTGGTGGTAGGAGTAGTCACGTTGGCAGAAATAGTAGATGTAAGAGAGTCGGTGATAGGAGCAGTATTAGCACAGGTGAGAACAACCTTGGGATGGGAAACAGGAGTGGAAAGGGCAATAACACGAGTAAGAGTGGTATTCTCAGAAGGAGCAGTGGCAGCGATTATGGCAATAGTGGCGATGATTACATCACGTTCGTTACGTTGCACGGGAGCGCTGGCAGCCGGTGGTGCGCTTGTAACGGCGGCAACAAGGGAAGCTGTGAAGGTAATGCCACTGGCAGGGATAATGGTGTCAGCTGGATTGGTGGGAGTAGCGAGCGTTGCAATAAAAACATGGGTGAAACCTAAGGCTGCTTGGAAAAACAATGAGGAGCATGAAGCTTGGAAATCGAAGGGTGCGAGGTTTACCGAGGAGTTGGATGAGATCGAGGAGTCCATTCAGGAAGCGAATGGAGACCTCGGAGGAGTGGATCATTTTCTAAAACTTCTCGCAGACGAGATGAAGACCTCCCCAAGCAATAGGACATTGATATCAAAAACTAATTTTAAATTTATGATAAAGCAATGTCAAGACCACCAGCGATAAATTAAGTGATCATGCTACACCGAAATTTATTTCTTGAAACAAGTCAATTCTACATCTGTACCGTCGCAGGATGTCAATGAAATAGAGCCCAACAGTTTAATGGGCCCTTCCCGCTGAAATAAGAAAGTAAAATATATCTGTCTATTTCATTAATTGCGCAATATGTCTAAGCAAAGTTTGCTGACAGTAACCCACGTGTCACGTTTTAAATATCTTTTGATTGTAATTACGCTATTTGCCAACGTTGTTGGCTATGATTTTTTTTTTTGCCAAATAAAACCGATGAAATCCTTACAGTTGTCTACATTATTGTTCTCAAGTACACATTAAAATATCTTCCAAATATCACATGTGAGGTAAATCAATGTTTTACAGATTGTATTTTATATGTATAGGATTCAACTGAGTTGCAGACGCACTTCTTGGAGGCAACACATGTATTTATACCAACACGTAACACAGCCTATGGTGATGGACCACCAGGCTGAACTACACTAACACACTGGTATGTTAGCAACAACGGACCGGACCCTGGCTCTGGTCCAGGTCCACATGTTGGTGACTCTTCTTGGACGTAGATCGTAGATCTTCAGATGACAGTAGCAACGCTGAACCCTGGTCCCTGTGGGGAGCCGGTTTATATGCTCCCAGGTCGTGGCTGGCCCCGCCCTTGGCCACGCCCATCTTCGAGAGACCTCGAGTTCTCTCTCGACCCTTCCCGTAGGATCTCTCCCCCCGACACGTGACCACCCCCTATCCCCCACCTGGGGCCCCATGTTGACTTTACTGGTTACGTGTCCTTCGGGGTCAACCAGAGTGCCATGGCCCACAGTAACCTCGTTCCCGTGGCCTGCACTCTCACACCCTACCCCGTAGGGTCAGCACTACACGCGGAGTGTGGTGCCACTGAGCGCTGTCGCTCAGCGCTCACCGAGCCCCCTCCAGGAGTGGTACTACACCCACATATACGGGGTGTCCGCGATGGCAATACACCTCACTAGAGCCGGCATTACCCAGCGATATTCACGATGTCGCTACACACGTGATGTCCACGATGGGGTTACATCGCACGCCATGCCCTTCTAGGGCCGGCACCACTCAGTGACTTCCGAGATGTCACTACATGTGTAAGTTCAATTATTAGGCGGTATGATTATTACTTAATTTGGAGCTTTCGTGACTGCAGGAATTATTATTTGGTTCTTTCGGTAAAGTCACGTATAAAGATAAAATAAGTATACTAGATTTGTGTTTCTATTTAATTTATACCTGATGATGATTGCTTGTGTTGCAATCGAAACGTCGTATGCTGGTATGATTCTTACCTGCAGTAGCGGACACGTGTAAACAGAGGGTGGTAGATAGGATATGTGGGATGAGTCAGGCCATTGGGCCACCAGGGACCCTAGACCCTAGGAGGGGGGCTGGGGGGATGCCGTTATATTCCAGGGCCCCCTAGAGAGTTCGAGAAGGAAGGTGTGTCTAGGGGCGAAAAGACTCTGGAACGGGTATAAAAGCCGGACCCCTAAACGGGTCAAGCAGTCATCGTCCACCTGAAGACCCGAAGCCCTGGAGACCTGAAAAACCACTCTGAAGACCTGAAGACCTGAAGCGAAGAGCCCAAAGGGCAGAACCCGAACCCCTGGCTAGGGTCTGGTTAAGAGCTTACCAGTCTAGGGTTAGCGCTATAACCAGAGTGAGGGCACATTAGTCCGGAGGGGCTACCACGTTAGGGTATCGGGTGTAAGGGGCCGTGACCCCTTTGTGTATCCCTAGTTGTAATTAAGTGTGTTGCCTCTCGCAAGTCTCGCTATCCTTCATATTTGTGGATCGGCCATTGCGTCGCTATATGTTGTATGGTCTGTTCTGGATGACCACAGTCGCACACTGGAGAGTTTTACGTTTTTCATTTGTGCAGCAGGTATCCGCCATGATTTGTGCGGATGCGGCGTTGTTTGGCCCTGAAAAGGGCCGTGGGCGTGGCTTGTGTTGTTGTTGCTGCTCTGGAGACCGGAATATCGATGAGCAATATTCGGTCTCCAGAGCAGCAGCGCAAACGGACACGTGGAGATGGACACATTTTTTAAATAAGCCCTGGTAAGTGGATGTGGAAGAGCCCCAACGGAGAATCAAAAACTTTAATGGACTTTATTCCTAGGATTTCTCAGGGTTGTCACATAAACAAAACATGCCAATTCATTACTAGTTCAGCACACCGGTGTATTGGAGAGTAAACCCACAACATTTACCAATCGAGTACTCGAATGTTGTGCTGAACTAGTAACGAATTGGCAAGTTTTGTTTACGTGACAAACCTTACTAATTGGCCGTGTCGGATGGTGGCGGGTTTAACGACGCAAATTTATATTTCCGCGATGTAACCCAAAAACCTCGATGATGGATTCGAAAACCAGTGTGCACCTCCGATTAGCACGGTTGGCTACGCACGAAGTTCACCACAGAGTACGTCACAAAAGAAACCAGTTTGCCCCGGACCACGCAAACAGCCCCCATCCCCTGCCTCTTCCGAGAAATGCGAGCGTCTCGTCAGCCGCCCTCCTCACGACCATTTCCACGTCCTTGCTGTTGACATTAAAACCCAACCCACGGGCAAAGTTGACGTGTCCAAACAGCACACGCGCAGGTGCGCGTCGTCCTAAATTTTCAACTCGGAAAGTCAAACGTTGTCACGCGTCACCCATCCACGACTTCAATTGTGAGACTTGGCGACGTGAAGTCGTTCACTCCTTGCCGACGACGGAACGTGCTCCTCCTGCAGCTCCCGGACGCCTCTCCAGAGGCCCATTACACTGCGTACGAGGTAATTAAGAGCTTTTTCAAGATTGAATATAGGTTGTTAAATGACCGCTAAGACAAACATATCTAGTTTAAGTAACATTTCCCGGCGACCTTAATTCGGTTCTCGGCGACGGCTAACGTCAGTGGTGAGTTATCTCTGAACCCAACGGCCTTAATCTAAGTTTCGATTTAAAGCTTTCGTGACTGCAGGGATTCATCGTCTTGGTTCTTTCGGTAAAGTCACGTAAAAGGGAAATAATAAAATAATACAAATAAAACATAATAAAATACAATTCTCACGACGTTTTGGCCACAACACAAGCAGCCGTCCTCACTTGAGGACGGCTTGTGGTTGTTGTTGTTTGACTTGCATCCCACTGGGATTTTTGCACACAGCGTTGTTGTACGGTGTTTTGTTTATGGAATTTTTGCTGGTTTTTTCCCTGGATTTTCAGTTTCCACATAGTCACTTTAAGATGTGTTCTTGTTCATGTTTTTGTTTTTTGTTTGTTGCGGTTGCACCCGATTCAAGAGCCGAATGGCTCACAGGGCTATACCAAATAAATGAAACTTGAAAAACTTGAAAACTTGTCCAGGGCTCTCACGACACCAACTCGCATGTGACCAGCCTGGTGAAGTATGTTTAAACAACACTTACAGTCGACGTAGTGTGAGTAGGCGTATACATCCAGCAGTGTATCGACAAGGGGCTGTTGTCCGTAGATTATAATTTTATGTAATTACTTCGCTTGTTCACATAATCGCATCCTAAGACGCTCTGTAGAAGTGCACGGTCATTACACAATTCACAATGTTGTGCTGTTGATGTTCGTGTTGGCGTCCCGTACAGATTACACCACCACCACCAAGTTGACTTCGCACACGGCTGGGACGTGTGTTGTCGCTATCCACCGTGGTGAACGTTTAAGGTGAGGATGATTTGTGTTTGTTTCTAAACGTCGTTTCCAACGTTTCTCTTGTTTCTTACGCGATTTGTTGCGTATGGTTGTAATTTACTTTGCTCAGTCGGTGTTCGCCGCTGAGGTCCTGGCGGGTTTCTGTTGCTCTGGGGTATGTGGCAAACATCCAGGTGGGGTGCGTGAGGCGATTCATAAATGTGTGACATTATATCATGCATGAGAGTCATTTGTGCATAGTCATGTATGAATCTGCCAATGTAAAATAACTACGATAACCTGGAACTATATAAAGGACCATTCTAAACTCATTGATCATAATAACGTCACGCACGCAGATCGTCCGCTGATTTTTTTTTCGCCTGTTGTTACTCGTGAGGTAAGATACCTCGCAAAATGGACAATTGGTTAAAATATTGATGTTCATTCTTAATACATTTATTTAGGAGTACCTTGTTGGGTCAGGCAAGGGCGGGGGGGGGAGGGTACTCGGTTGAAACAAAATTAAACAAAGGGGGCACAGTAACGAAGCAAGGTTGAGAACCACTCCTCAATGCCCCTGTACCGTTCACATTCTGTTGTAATGTTCACCGATGCCATATTTATTGAGGGCAATATTGGCACGTAAAATAAAAATCGATTAATGGACTATATAAATGTTGTCTTAAATTCAGGGTGACTGTACGGAAGCAACATACGTACTGTGTCGGTGGTCATTCTGTAGTCGCTCGGCTACAGAATGAGACGACGGTATGTTGAAAAGTCTGACAAGATCCAAGCAGAGCCGTGCGAGACAAAAGGTGCACAGGACGGGGCGGAAGAGAAGGTACGACGGACATGTACGGTCTGCCGTCTGTTTTTGCCGTTCAGTTTATTGTCGATTTGGACGAAATGGGTCACTGAAACGTGTTAGTTACACGCCTAATTAGACTCCAAACGCGTACATCGAATAACAATCATCTGCTTAGATAACTGCTGTTGTGTAGTGTAGTAGAACGACAATACTGCGTTGGCTCGGTATGGGGGCTGTAGGCGGGTGTCACGGAGGTCGTATCAGGCCGCGTGAACCCAACAGGGCACGTGACTGGATAAAGGGGGGCCAGGGGTCCCAGGGAGGTCACGTGGTTGGGGGTTCGGGCCTTCCCGAAGGATCGGGAAGGGGGGCGTGGCCTGGGACGGAGCCGGCCACGCCGGAGGGGATAAGCGGGGTGTGGACGGAGAGCTGGGCTTTTTTCTCTTCTGTTCTGCTGGGTCAACTTTGGGATGAAGCCACCATCTACGATCCTCGGTCTCCAGGCCAGATATGTAGCATCCCCGTGTGTTAGCTAAGTTAGGAACAGTGGTTACCACCCTATGTCGTTATCCTGTTAATGTAAAGAGTTACCCGTTGTGTTTAGCTCATAAATAGTGTTGCCTTCAAAGTTCCAATGTGCGCCTGAATGTAACCCACTACAGTTGTATAAATATCCACTGCTTAAAAATAAGTAGCGGAAGGAGCGCTTTCAAATTAAATAAACGAGCGATAGTTTGCCATTAATTTGAAACACGCCATTCATCCGCTGCAGTGACTGCTCCCCCACAAACAGAAATCTGCCACGTCACCTCTGAAAAGCGTCTGTCTCATCGCCTGGACTGATGCTAATCGTAGCTACCACGGGTTTTCAAATTCACTGACCATTTAGTTTCATTGCAGCCGGCTCGGACAATGCACTGTGCGGTTTTACACCACTAGGTGGATTCTGACAAAAATGCGAGGGAAACATCTCGCTGCACTTCTCGTGCGCAGTCATACGAAGGGCACGGGGTTACGCACGGGCTACATTTGTCATTTAAACGAAACTTTTGATTTTACCAAGTAAGGCCCACTGAGCTATACAGCTCTTTTCCAGAAGAAACCTGGCCACAAATGATAGCTCAACGAAGTGGCTTACATGGAAATGTATAGCTGCCAAATACTCTTAAATGCATGTTTCGAAATGTAAAGGGAAAACCCGGATGACCCGGATAAAAATCCACGTGACTACGGAGAGAGCATGCAAAATTCAAATATATAGGCATCAAAGTCAGGATCGAACCCAAGACCTCCTGTATACCAGGAAAGGCAGTTAACATCTCACCACCACAGCACCCAGTGTCAAAGAAATTGCACCTGAAGTCCAAGAGACAAATCCCATTCATTAAGCATATTTGGCATAGCTTATATCATATTTAAACGTTGCTTTGCCTACTGAACCATCATTGTACTTTCATGAGAAATATGAATGATATCTTGTCAATGTGCTAAAACCATGTTCACCTTTTGTACATTTTCAGATTGGCATGACCACCCTAGAAGAAACCAGTGATAAAAATGTGATAATGGTACTTCAATGTCTGCAACAAATAGCTTCAGATCACAAAGACATCCACATTAATGCTGATACATATGTTGACAGCATTTGCTTTGCAATTAATGATTTTAATCATGTGATGGAGAAGGTTACGGATAAGATAATAACACCAGAGGAGGCAGTGGAATATTTCGCCACCCAATTCCCTGAACTGTATGGGAAAGGTAAACAAATTTCCAGCGCCTATGATGCTAGTTTAAACGAGCTTTGTAACTTAACAAATAGAACACAAGATGAAAGAAACAACTGCAAAGAAAGATTGTCTAGGCTTGCAGCAATAAAGCCAAAACAAATCGAGACACTTGCAAATGACAGAGCTGCAGGATGCTATAAGGTGGCCGGAAAAGCGGGAGGAGTAGCAGTAAAATCAGGGTGTATAGGAGCAGCAGGGGGTGGGACAATCTTGTTAAGTGCAGCAGCAGCAGAGGTGGCAGCGGCATCGGCAGTTGCCGCATGTGCAGTAGAGGTAGCAGCAACAGCAGGGACAATAATTGTAGGAGGTGCAGCGGTAGCAACAGGGGCAGCATTGGTTGCAGGAGGAGGGGCCCTTGCATTGGGATTAGGAGTCAAAGCGGCACACCACTGGTCTAAACGTTCAGAGGAGGAAATTCAACAAGAAAAAAATCAGTGGAAGGCAACCGAGGCACATTTTAGCCAATTAACTGAGCAGAATGAAAAAATAAAAGAGGTAATTGATCGAGAAAAAAGTTTGCTTTTGAAAGTGAACTTACGTTTAGAAAGTATTGCTAAACAAATGCTATTGGCGAAAGATAAAACGTCAGAAATTGTTAAATGTATACTTAAAAGGCAATCTAACGAAGTAAGAAATCTCATGGATGAATGTGAAAAATACAAGAAACTGAGAATGCAAACTAAGAATACTATATATCCAGAAAATGCAGTATGCACAACGCATAGGCACAATAGCAGAGGAGGAGATTGCTGATAGCCACTACATCTGGCGAGACAGTGGATATTCACACAAACGGCAAACCACATCCTTCTGCATTCATCTTGGGTTTAAATATGCCAAAAAGTTGTTCGGTATCTTTAGTCTAGAATTATAATTGCAAAAAAGGTTTTATAAATATTTTCAAAAAAAGGCAATCATGAGGATAACACGTAGGCTTTCACTACCAATATTATCCATAACAGGTTTTTTGGGTTACATCGCATAAATATAAATTTGTCGTTAAACCCGCCACCAACGACACAGCCTATTAGCAAGGTTTGTCATGTAAATAAAACTTGCCAATAAGTTACTACTTCAGCACACCGGTGTGTTGGAGAGTAAACCCACAAAATGTATAATTCGAGTACGAATTGCCTCATCATGCGACAGCCAGAACCTCTACTTTGGGTAACACTTGGGGCACATCAAAACATATCCCTGACCCTCGGGAGAATATTTTATCTGCATCCTTTAGAGCAGCGGTCCCCAACCTTTTTTGACACCAGGGACCGGTTTCGTGGAAGACAATTTTAATGAGCCCATAATTTAAGTAGGACTCTTGGTATTTTCTTTTAAATGCAGCTTTCTTTTTGTAGGCAGTCTTAGAGTCTTCTGCTGTCGCATCATTGGGTCTTTCCCCCGTTTCAAAGAAGGTCTCCAGCGATGTTTGTTTTTTACTCATTCTGGCTAGGGTTAGCTTGTGGGCTTTCCAAAACTGACTGAGACAAGCGCGCAGTGCGGGAAAGAGGTGCAGGCGGAAGTGGTAAATACAATAATGGGCAAGCCACGCGCGGACTAAAATAAGTGTCTGATTGTGACTTCTCATAAGGAGCTCGCAACCTAGATCCCTCGCATGCACAGTTTACACTAGGGTTCACGCTCCTATGAGAATCTAATACTGCCGCTGATCTGACAGGAAGCGGAGCTCAGATGGTAATGCGAGCGATGGGGAGCGGCTGTAAATACAGATGATGAAGCTTCATCTGTCAATACAGATGATGAAGCTTCGCTCGCTCGCCCACCGCTCACCTCCTGCTGTGCGGCTCGGTTCCTAACAGGCCACGGACCGGTACCGGTCCGCGGCCCAGGCGTTGGGGACCCCTGTTTTAGAGGACATCTATCCATAAGCATTGGGAAGATATCCAACCCTACCTCTATCTATTGGAAAGACCTTTCACCTTAATCCTTAGGACATCTAACAGCCACGATAACTCTTGGAAGGACATCTAACGCTCGGGTGAACATCTCACCCTAACCTTGGGAAGTGCATCGAATGCTAACCCTTGAGAAGATGTCAAACACTTTAGACGTCTAAATGATCTTGCCCTTATCCTCGGGAGTACACTGGTATCTAACCCTAGCCGTATGCCAATTTGTTTAAATTATAAACAGCAAAGTTCAGCGAAGTTCACGTGATTGTGCATAGAAACATATTGAATTGTTTTATGCACTAACACAAATTTGTTTTTCAATTTCCCGACAAAAATATAAAAAAAAAGTAATAACCAATGTACTTGTTGGTGAAAGAGCTATCATGGCGGGCCATCATATACCATATGATAAACATTATTTTGTGATACTGGTTTGGCAATGGTGCACACGGACAAAAAATGTAAAACTCACATTCGTTAATAACACTGTGACCTTAAAAGGAAAAAAACACAATCGGTGACGTTTCAGGCAATGACCCTTCCGGGGAAATGGCCCATCTCCATGTGCTATGAATAAGGGCCATTTGCCCGAAATGTCGCCTATTATATAATCTATATATTATTTTCTACTTTAAGGCCACAGAGTTACGGACACATATGTTGTGTTTCTAACCAAATTCTAGTTTATCCGGGGCTTGGGCAAAACATCGACATGGCCACGACACCGGAATATAACGGACCTTCAGAATATTGGCTCCCATAACACAAATGTGACGTTGGATATGCTATTATTATTTATATTGTTATTGACTTAAAGTAGGGATGATCAAACTCCAGTCCTCGCTATCCACCACGATGCACCTTTTCACGTTCGCCAACCACCATTCAAACGAACCCGGAAGGCACCAACTGCACTAGTTAGTTGGTAAGGAAGTACACATGCGCCTTGATGGGGTTCAAGGACTGGCCTTGAAGAGGCCTTGTATTTGAGGTTACTTCCATTCTTGTTTTTTTGATAGCCCGTCAAGGTTCTCTATCGCCATAGAGCATTCACAGTTCAACGCAATGCTATTCAAATCGTTCTCTTTTTGCAATAAAACATATATAACGAATTATTACAAATCCCAATGCTATTTTGACATGTGTTTAATTTAGGGGCCGTCCATAAATGACGTCACGCGATTTTGGACAAGTCAGCCCCTCCCCTCAAATATGACGTCACAAAGCTCTGCCCCCCCCAAACCATATTTCCATTTTGAAAATAAAACATGCTTCAAATCCCTTTAAACTATTGTCATTGTAGTGCGTATTTAATGATGCGCTGCACTCTGATGTAGGAGAAAACTGTTATTAAAGTCTATTTGAGTACCTATTTATATTTATTTAAAGTTGCGCATTTTGATGTTGCGTCACATTTCTCAAAGCCCCCCCCCCTCGTCACACATCGTCATAAATGTCTGACCCCCTCCAGGTGCGTGACGTAATTTATGGTCGGCCCTTTAGGGCTACCTATCACAAATGTATTCAATTGATCTTTTACCAGAATATAAAACATTGCATTTTTGCTTGAATATAAGTTGTATTTAATGGGTGTGGAATACTGTAATTATACCAATGTATTGCATGTCAAATTGCTTGCTGAATTTAAATGACTGGTTAATCACTGATGCATGTTATGATTATGGTTGCTTTTACTCCCGTACTTTCAAATGTATAATAAATAACAATTTCTTGTGCATTAATGAGATTGCAGTTACATTATGATAAACATAAAGACAAAGACTCCCCCGTATAGCCTGAACAGATTGTTGGGGTAAGTGCTGTTAGCGAGCACCTATGAAGACTGGCAAGGTACACGAGGTGAGTGACCACACTACGCCCGACCGCCTTTGTCTTCCTATTAGCACCAGGTACTAATTTGAGGCTGAATTGACCTAGGCAAGGCCCAGGACCAGTTCAGATAATCGTCACTGGTTTTGGCCATGAGCGGGAATCGAACTTGGTTCGCCGGGTTTGTCGCACGGTGCGCTAACTGCTACACTACCGCTCCCCACAATATAACCGTGGATACACATACGTACAAGGGGCACTCTTGGTGCTATGGGCAGAGTACAATGCGGACTCAAGGAGCTCAAAAGAGGGAGTGGTGTGAGAGGTGGGCAAGGAGTTGAGAGGAGACCACATGCTCCTGAAGGTTGGAGAGGAAATGTAGGCTGGAAATGGGGCAGTAGTTCGACAGGATGGAGGAAGATTCGTTTTATAAAGCATCGTTCAAGCAATTGCATCTCGGAATCACTGAGCAAAGACAGACAAGCTGGAAGGCTAACTGGCGGTGGGCCGGTGCCAACAATTTATCTGCTATTTACTATGTACAGTATTAAGATTATTACATACGCGTGTTTTGTCAGAATGGGAGTAATGACGGCAGTTGTACAGGCACGGGGCACGATGCCAGGAGACATTGATAGGTTAATACTGGTAGGAACCTCCTGGTTCCACCAGCCCACAAGGGATTATTGTGTCTGTCCATCGTGCATCCAAAAATGGGAGGGGCTGGGTGGAGAGGGGAGGGTGGGGAGGGTGGGGCTGGGTGGGGGATGTGAGGGGTGGAGCTGGGTGGGGAGGGGCTGGTCACCCCGTGGTGCCCTTATTAAACTCAACGTTTAACCTACTCACGCCGGCTTGTGCCCGCCCTCACAGTCGGGCATATTTGCGGAATACACCACTTCAAGGAAGTTCTCTTGCGTGTGCACTCCCTCAATGCCCTCATCTGTTTTCACCTTCATCAAGCTTGAGCTGCTCACCTTCACTCGCTGTATGGCCGCTGAATTGAGGCCACTGTCTGAGGTGTTTGAAGCTTCAGATATATCTGCTTCAACCTGGTCCCATGTCCTTTGTATCCTGGCATCAAGGTCCTGCTTCTCAGCATCATAGCTTTCCAAGGCCCGATGTGTCAGCCTGACCTGTTTTTGGGGCATTGAACTCCCTTTGTCCTCTTGAGGCAGAATGGGAGGTCCTGGATTGCATAATTCACTTTCATCCGCATCTCTCCCTGCTGAACTGCGGCTTTCCATGCTGCGATGCTTGTAACACAATTTTTAATGTAGATTTGTTGCAGAGCCGGTTGCCTGAGAGCTCCTTTGCTTGCTGCAAGCTGACTGCTTGAGAGCTCCTTGCTTGCTGCAGGCTGACTGGGAGCTTCAAGAAGAGTGTATTTTTACTGTCTCAGCCTCGCTGTGTGCTGTGTTGCACCGCTATCCTCGCATCCAATAAACCTTCAAAGCCAGGGTGAAAATCTGACTCCAAACGTAATTTATTTAATTGAACGAGGTAAAACTGATGGAAAAACACAGCACAGATACACCATCTGTTAATACTTAGAAACATCAACACAATGCATGAACACTACAGCATCACAACATTTTCCTAGATAACATGTTTCTCAACAATAGATCCTGGATGGACCAGGCACTCACAACAGCACTGAACAGCTATACAAGAGAACAAGCTACTGTGTTAAACAAAGGCACATCGTGCAATTATCACACTGCACCCCAAATGTACAGCACTACATATAACACTGCACTATGAATGATACATTTTGTCATCCTTGCTCTCCAGATCGCAATAAAGTTACTTGGGTACAAGTTTGACTTGACTTATTCGATTACAAGTAACATTCACAATAAGGCAAGTTGCAGGCTTCGTTGTTAACTAGGCCTCGTATTTATCATAACAATTTAACATCATTATAAAGGCATTTACAGCATTATAACGGTCAATATAACATTATAACAGCATTCCCAGTATTATAATAAAATAAACGAACTTACAGACAATGCTTCTTAAAGCCCCACAATGGACAATTACAGCTGGCTTCACTGGGACGCGATGTGTGCCGCCATCTTGAACTCTGTGTAATGGCGGAACCCCAGCCTCGTGGTTGAAAGGCTGTCAAATCGTAACTTCCTGTTCACGTGACCAAACTCACCCTCAAAACAGGACATTCCTGTGTACTCACACCCCCACTCCCGCATGGAGCAAAACACCTGCTGTGAGGCAAAACAATATATGAAGGACTGCAGAGCTTGCCCAATTGCGTCCGTTCACTGCCTGGTTGCCTTAGATTTTTTTAAAGGACATTTTATTCACGAATGTGTTGAATTTTCATGCATGAAAGCAACATTTGTAAATGTCAGGTTACTTGATAGGTGGTGAACTGTTCTCGACGTGGGCAGGAAGGTCCGTTCCCCGGTGTGACGATCCCTGTGTAGTGGGTTTGTATGAAGACGGAGTCTTCGTAGGAGGCAACACGTTTATTATATAACGTAACAGCAACAAAAACACTAGGTCCCTAACACGAAGGGGTAATGGCCCCTTCCACTCACAACCTAGGGAGGTACAGCCTCCGGGCTAACGTGTCCTAGCCACTGGGGCGAACTGCTCCTGTAGCCCTCCGGCTAGTGGGACCTAGGGGAGGCTGACTCGACCCAGCCAAGGTGCGATTCACAACCCTGGCCCATCCAGACCCGGCCCTTAGAATGACGTCGGGTTGAGGGATCCTCAGGGTCCTAGCCTATTGACCACTGACCTCACTGAGCCCCGGCCCCCCACCCGGGGTCCTGGGGTGTCCCCCTCCGGTTCCCAACCGTCCCCCCCAGGATGCCTGACCCTCGAGTCCTGCTTGTCACAGGTCGGACTCGCTATTGCCCCCTGTTGGGCCCTGACTGGAAGTACCAGCTCAACCACAGTGGTGGCGGCGTCTTCTGCCCAACAATTACCCACAACACCTGTTACCTGCGTTGCTTTACGAGAAGGGGCGTTTGTTTGTCACGTTGCGTGACGTGAAAATCGTCGTTAAGGAATGCAAAGTTTCTGCATTTTTTATTAAGCGCGGGGGTCGTTGCGAAACAGCAGTGGTTTTAAGGTGACATTTCAATACGGCGACTTTGATGCCAACAAAAATGCTATTTTGTTAATATATTATACACTGATATCTATTATAGGCACAAACTAAGTTTTACAAAAACGTATGTTTATTGTTTTTGTATCTTTATATATATTCCGAGTGACAATGTATGTCAACTTATAATCATACGCATATTTGTACACTTCATGATATTTAGTCAGGCATGTTTTTCCCCTGAAAAGTAATGGTGATTTTTTTAAACCCATCCAAGTTAAGAAATTGCGAATGTGAGGATCTCACATTTCTGATTTGTGTGTCGTTACTGCATTGGGACACGTGGGGAGACGCAACGTGGTACGGAGGCACTTTGCTGTGTGGAGCTATTGGATGGAGAAACACGGGGAGACTCATAGAGATCCGGATACACATTCCTGCTGGGTGTACCTACTGCGAGCAACAAAGCCATTGAAAGTACATTGCAGGCGTTTGTTAAGTAGAGTAGAGTCAATAAAGGCCATCTGTCGACTACAACCGGAAGTCACAATTATAGCAGAATTAAAGAATCACATGAACACAAATACAAAGTGTACGCTTATGTCAAATTACATCGTTTACATATCCCTTGTCATCTCACATCGAGTATATAAATCAACAGCAAAAAATATTTTTGCTTAGCTAGTAAACATGCCAACGTTGGCCGACGTTGACCCAACGTTTTATAATTTACTGAATATACGACTTTCTACGTGGGCCAGCACCAACTGCAATCTGACGCCCATGGACAATACAATACACAGCAGTAACTAATTACAGTCACGACACGCATCTATTAGACAGGTTCACAAAACACGTTTAACCTGCTCTTCCATTTCCCCCTGCCTGAAAACCGACGAAGTTTGACAAATAAAACCAGCTTCCCTGAATGCTGTACTCGCTGCATTGTTTAGTTTCTTGAACACGTAGGCTTCCGCGACCAGTATCATCCATAAGAGGTTTTTTTGGGTTAGATCGCGTAAATTAAAAAAATGTGTCGTTAAACCCGCCACCACCTGACACAGCCAACTAGTAAGAATTGTCAGGTAAACAGAACATGCCAATTCGTCACTAGTACAGCGCACCGGTGTGTTGGAGAGCTAAGTCACAACATTGGCTCTCCAACACAGCCCAGCTGCACTCCACCTTGGTCGTCTTCTTCAGTCTTGTCCCAAGCCCCCAATCACACCGTGTCTCTACGTGGACAGACCCACCTGCTCTTAATTAACTCAACGTATGCGTTCCCCGAAATCTCCCCCTTATAGTTCCCCACGCCTTCGCGGCTATTGTATCTGAACGTGTGCGCCGACCATAACTCCGATATACAAAGGTCCCCGACAAAGGTAAAAAAAAAACTTTTTATTGAAAAGGTAAAAACTTTGTTGCTCGCAGTGGCGGAGCCAGTGAGAGGGGGGGGGGTGTGCCATATGCCCCCCAATGATCCGATCGAAATCCATAATTGGCGTTTATTTGTAATAAAACGGCATTTTGCGACCCCCACTGCCAGGGGCTCTATGAGATGATAGGACAATAGTCTGAGTCCATAATTGGCAATAAGTAATGGCAAAGCAGTTATAAGTGACTCATAGAATTGTGCGCAGTTGTGTATACAGTACACGACTTCCCTGAAGGCAAACACCTTCAGCGAGCGCGATGCCGATCACACACGCGTGAAATAAAAAGCAAGGGATAAGTCCTTACTTACTAACAACTCCTATAATTTTTCATTGCTGGAGGAGTTGCTCCCCCTACCTGAAAATCCTGGCTCCGCCACTGGTTGCTCGACAATTATATGTCTGCGGTAAACCAGTGACATGTTTTTTAAACCGTTTTTAATGCAAATAGCCGTAATAAAAAAACAATATATTAACAACTCCACCTTTGACTCTTGTTTAAATATACGCTGTATCTCATTTCACTGCATCTGTCTCATCCGTAATGTTTAACCGGTTCTTTAAGTAGTTGTTCGCTTAGCCGCGACAAAACATTAACATCTGCGCACACGCAACGTATCATCAGGCTGCTTTCTGTTCCCACTACACTACGATACACGACACTACTCTACAATACACTTGTGGGGACCGTCGTCCACCCCACTGCCCTCGCTAGGCAGGTGGGGCGCGACGTCCACCCTTTCCGCTCCCTCCTCCACCACGTCGGTCAGCTCCCGCCTGGCCCCCGCAGACCGAGTGATCGGGCCCCCCACGCTAGGGGCCCTCTCTGAGGGACATACTCGTGCTGCTGGCTCACAGCCGCACGAAATTATACCACATGCCTGCGTACACCACAGCTAACACAGTGGGGTACGAACGCGCTCGCATTTGCGGGCGATTATCTCTTAACGCGCGCCCGTGCACACCGCAGCTATCGTACCCAGGCGGCCACGCCTTGCGTCAGTTTGGGCCAGAGACACTGGCGACGCAGGGTCTCCCGGGTGCGCCATTCCCCATCGTGGCTCCCAAGTGGGTGGTCGTGCACCAGCCGTAGCAGCTGGGGCCACACCTGGGCGAGAACACAGATGCACCCCGGTTTCCTGGCTTCGGCTAGTTCCGGCACCACCCCATCCTTCACACACAACCGGGAGTACAACCCACTCCAGGGTCCCTGTACGGCGACCTTTTCGCTGCCACAGGGCCGCCTCCACTGCCGCCAAGTCCGGGTCCCGCTGCTGGGCCTGTCGCAGCTGTTCCTTGTCCAGGCCAGGGAACGCACAGCCGACGTCCTCTTAGATCCGACCAGGTTGGTCAGAGCATCCCGTCGAGCCCATGGGTGCGGGATCCGTGCCCGCTGGGAGGCCCCCCGGGCCCCCGGCCCTTTCAGCAGGGACCTCTGTGACACACACGGCACTCTCTCTCAACAGAGGGGGGTTCGTCTCAGGGCGTTCCAGGGGGGCCGCTGCCTATCGGCAGCGCCCCCCACCCCGTGAAACACGGGCAGGTGTGACGTCCGCCCCTTCCACTTCCTCCTCCATCGCGTCGGTTCGCTCCCGCCGGGCCCCCCGCGCTAGAGCCCTGAAGGATATACTCGTGCTGCTGGCTCACAGCCGCACGGAGATAACCCACACACCCGTGCACACCGCAGCTAATGCATGGGGGGGGGGGGGGGGTACGAACGCGCTCGCACCTGCAAGCGATTACCTTACCGCGCGCCCGTGCTGCAGCTCCGCGTTCACTCTCGCGGTGCGTTTCCACACACAATTCACCGACATCACACCGATGCTCTGTGCTATTATTCGCGGTGCAAACCCTGCACTGCCCGGAGGGAATATTTAGCGAGAAGAGCCTTGCCTACTGCTGATCAAGTCCTCTGATACTCAGATGCCCTATCACGTACGTCGTGGCTGTACTCACGGCGTCGCACGGACGCTGTGAAAGTCGGAGGGAAGAGGACGAAAACACCCTTGCCCTATCACTGCCTCGTAGCAGCACTCGCTGGCATCACACAGATGCTGCGAGCGGCTCGAGAAGGCAGGATGGCAGGAACCCTTCGGAATAAAACCCGGCGTGCCAGGCAAAGCCCCGCCAGGAGACTGTGTGGGCGCCCACTGTGAGGCGTCTTCTGTACCAATAAACCTTTAACGTCTGCAAAAAAACAACGTGTCATCAGGCAGCTTTCTGTTCTCAGAATTGGCGTCATTTCTGCAAAGAGGAAGCAGCCCGACTGTGCCTCTGTACCCAGAAACTACGTGATGCCTCTCCAAACACACCCGCCCCATTCGCACGCTCACTCCGTATGCGACCACCACGCCAGGTATATAAACAGAGCGGCAGCGCTGAGTGCCTCCTGAGCTCTTTCTGTCGCCCGCACGACCGCCACGGACTCCTGCTGCCAAACCGCTAAAAAGGTAAGCGACGCTTACACTCTCTCGACACTCAAACGAGTTTAAACTATACATGTGATTCATTTTGGTGCTCTTGCACGCAAATAAACGATGCATTCAGTCGAAAATGTGTTTGTTTCTCACGTGAGCGCGAACGCCATAAAAACGCAAACGTATTTACATTGCTCCGCATGCCACTTCCCATACAAACCATGCGCATACAAATTTAATTACTAATTGCAATAGAAATCAGTCTTCCGTTTACTGTCCACATTGCCTGTTATTTACCAACTCGCTCTTAATCCTACAGGAAGAGAAAGACATGGATCCACACGAAGCTATTGAAAATGCATTTAAACATGCATTGAAAATTGTAAGTAAACACAATGGTATTTACAGTGCTCCCATTGCTATTTCTGAAAGCAAAACGCTTACACAATCTTTCGGTTATCATTTTAGTTTTCTTAACATAAACCAATATGCTGATAAAGGAATCGCCACCGACAATTAGAGAAAAACTGTCGTACGAAGTAAACGGGCAATAAAGTGGGATAGTTTAGAGATGAAGACAGGTCGACCTCGGCTTTCATCATTCTGTTTCTTGTAGACCTCAGCCGATGTGAAATGTACGTTTTATACTGTTTGTGTTACAGATGCTGTATGAATTGGAACCACATTTAAATAGTTTTCACCAATATTGCAATGATTCTTACAAGAAAATGAAGGATTTTCTAAAATCCTTGTTACCCGTTGCATCGAGCTTCATTCAAGGGTTTCGTCAAGAATTCGAAAAAAACGATAAAAAACACAGAAATTTAATTTCAAGCAGTTACAATCTTCTTAATGAAATCCATATAACACACAGGTTACTTTCCAGCATAGTTGAGGAGGTTATTAAGAACAAAATATCAGTAGAAGAGGCAGATGCATTCCTCAAGACCAAAATTGCTGACATTGAGCAACCATTGACCCAAATCATCGCGGATCATGAACATCTTCTTGACGCATATAAATATACAATGGATCGTGTCACTGAAAAGCGTAACAGTCTTATAGAAAATAAAGACAGCATCGCTTCAGGTGCGGCTAAAGTAGTCGTGGCAGGTGCAATAACGGGGGCAGTATCAACAGCAGTAATCGGTGCAGCAGTTTCGATATCACCACCACTAGCAGCAATTTTTACCCTGAAGAGAATTGCCACGGTGGGATTTGGATTGGGAGTACTCGGCGAAGCACTCGTACTGAAAAATAACAAAATGGTTTTGAATGAAATGGATCTGGCCTTTAAAGGATTTGTCAAAATCATGGTAAAACAAACGGAGGACATTTTAACGGTGCAGAAAGGATTTGATACAATAAACAGCTCCTTTAAACAATTGGCAAAACCGCAATCTACGAACGAACAAATCAGGAAGATTGAGTTTGGAGTCGGGGTAAAGGATCAACTCAAAATTATCGAAAAGGTTTCCGGCGATTTGAAAGAAAGTCTTGACAAAATCAGGCAAAGACGAGATGACTGATAAAGATACGGGCGCAAAAATCTGCATTCTGTGAGCGCCAATGGCTGCAAATGATCTCGTCAGAGATGAAAGGTTTCAAATCGATTCTCTGCGCATCATAGCGAGTCGAGTGTTTTGACGATTCACAGCTTTTGTACGGCAAAAGTAATTTTGGCAGATAATACAATAATTTTGAAACCGTATATGAATAGTATTGATTGTACACTTGAGAATAATTTAATAAGCAAGGCGAATTAAGTTATTTATGTCAAGATTACACAATGATTAAAACTCTCAATGCAAACTTTGTAAACACCGTTAATTATTCGTAAAATCCATTAAAGAAATACCTTGGTCACCACAAAAACTCACGTTGTTTGCAAAAGTAGTTTGAAACTCAGGATCATGGAACGGTGACTTCATCAGTGCATGCTGAATAAGTATAACCCGTAAAAACAAAGTTTTTCACTCTAAATCCTTTATATGCGTGGCGGCTAGAGTCTTCTCGTCCTTTGGCTTGAGATGGCTGCCACCTATGGGTCAGATGATTGTCTGCAGTATTAAACAATTGGTAATTAAATATTTAATTTGTTTTTCCGAAACAGTGTAAAATTTTGGATTAAATTTTTACACGAACATTAATTGTCTCGCACAACGAGTCTGTGTGCAAAATGTCAGCTCGATTGGATCACGGGAAGTGGGTTAAAAAACGACCGAAAGGTTTGCACGGTCATAAGCAAGCAAGCACGCAAGCAAGCAAGCGAACTTAATATGAAGGATTTAAAAATGCATTCTTCCCATGGCTCTTCTCGATTGCCCCTTAACTCTGATATTTGATATGTAACACACAAAAACTGCTCGAAAATGTTATTTTCTCGTTTTGTTTCCAAAAATATGGGGTTTTCTGCTGACATAACTCATGTTAACGATATTTTCAAATATTTATGTCAATGTACATTGTATCACGAACCTGCCTATTGAAATGTATTGTATTTTTTTATGATATTGTTTTTGACATTAATGTGCTGCTACATTGTACCATCTAAATTTCATTAAGTTTCCAAGAAAGTATCACTGCAGGTGTCTGGACTATGTATTGTCATAGAAAAATAGTTGTTTTCAGTGTGACACAATTTGAATACAAATTATTTTCACCGCAAATTTTCCATCCAAATCTTACCTGATGGTAATGCTAATGTTTTATAAATTATTATACGAGCAGATAAAACTATCGAAAACTTTAACATCGTGTTATGGGTTTTGCCATATATAAGTGTGGGGAATGCATATGCTGTACCGTATATATACTAGTCTTTGTACGTATGCTATAGAATTAGCGTAGAGCCTTGATTTTACTGGTGTGCAGGGTTGGGTGTCTAGGTAGTGTTTCAAAACTGTAAAGTTAGACATTGACGTGTGTGATGTGAATAAGAGTGAAGCCTCAGTCACCCACGCTATGACCCTATCAAGAATCGTCCTGGAGCCGATGACAAAAAATAAATAATTCCTGCCTGGAGAACTATACACGTGTTTCTTGTATATGTAACGTCCTTTGTCATATTGACACTCTTGGTCTGATTGCTATAGGCCATGCACGGCAATGCAGCTGCGCAGGACGGTTTGTGATATTTATCGCCATACTATTACAATAATTGCATTTAGTGGGGCTGATTAAGTGTAAATACAAATGAATCGGCCAAACTAGACTCTACCTATTCACATTGTTGAGTGGTGATGGTCAGGTGAGTAGATGCTTGGTGAATGTGAGTAGAGTGGTGGATGTCTGACGAGGATCAGATTAGTCTCGTGGATCATGCCATACCGCCCGTAAGATGGGATGCCTAAGACACACGAGTGTACAGTGTCCATACACAATAGTGTACATACACACGAGTGCACATAAAAACCCACTGCATTTAAATCACACGCATGTCATTCCAATCAGGCAGAGTCCCGCGAGCTGAGCTATCTGGTCCAAGCAATGCCTCCCAGTGAGGGTTGCTCATTTCTTTATTGGGAGACAGAGGAGGTGGGATACATTTTATTTCCCATGCAATTCCCTTTATTTTATTACACGCTTTCATTTAATTCACTGTCTGTTATTGTTGTTGTCGTATCCTCAAATCTTGTAACTCAATTTTAACCCACTTCCCAATGTGGTATCGACTGCAAACTTGGTATACTTATGTCATACTGATGACAATACTATATTCTATCATAAATATATATTCTTAAACATTATTTTTTACATGTTATGTTTCGGCTTTGGTCTAATTGTTCACGCTCAACTGACGTTGGCTGTAATTGGCCACGATCCATTACGTTATGGCAAGCTTCGGGGCCACTTCCTTGAGTTGTGGAGTTATTCCATTACTAGTACATTTTATAAAAGCGTGTTTAAAAAAATTAGTTTTTTTAAATATTACTTATTTTCTTATAGTGCACCAATGTGGATTTTTTCAGGAATACAGACTCTTTAACAAGATTTCGCATGTATTAACTTTGCCTTGGTTCGTTTTGCACAATTGACGCACTATGCACAAGGACACAAACCAACTGTGACGGATAATCATTTATTGACAACCAAGTATAACCAACTCTTCAAAACTCTCGAAACTGACAGCACACATCTACATAACCCCGTCGTTCAGCAGCTCAACACAGCGACCCTGCGTGTCGACAATCACAGAACACCGCGATGACGGTTCACACCAACCATTCCGCACGCTCCACTCCCGGGTGACGAGGCAACGCAGCAGAAGCCCAGGGAATGTAACGGTAGCCTCGGGACTTTGACGCTTTCAAGAGCGCTCTGAGCGACTCAACACAGTGGAAGTCTCGGGACTAGGTTGGCGCTATCAACAGAGCTTTGAACAACTGAACACAGCTACAGTCCTGGTCACTGACACGCCCGCACAGCAGCGTCGCACACAGCGACTCCGAGCACCAGCAGACACGGGGCAGCCGCTTGGGGCAGCCGCTTGGCATCAGAACAGCAGCAGCACTTGCAATGACCCACACCGCAACAGTCCAGCCACCGAGCTGCCCACGACAGCATCGCCCTGGCGAACCCAGACCACCCACCACCCTTGCCCTCTGGCAATGACACCCTCCACCCGTACATGGGTAGTGCGCACTTAAATTCACATTTAGTCCCGCCCTCACAGCCTCTGTCAATTAACTTGGCTTGTGCAGCGTCCCCCAATTAGAACCCCGTAACATCATTACATCAGCCCTGACTTTTTGTTGATCTCACTATCTATCAATCACGCAAAGCCCCATCAACTACCCCTCACCCCATGCCAACCGGCTTGACCTGACTGGCCAACTCGTGCCCTGCCTCCAAGTCAAGGCCAGACTGTGGCGCCTTGTCTTCCGGAGATGGGCGGTTTGGGGGATTCCCCCCATGCCGATAATTGCTCACCACCCTTTACCTCATGTAACCTTGGCCACCCGGGCTCACCCTGGCACGACAGCATTCATCCACAACGTTACACCGTCCCTCTTCCCTGGAGAATGGGGGACCATACCAGAAACTTATCTTGGCTTGGATCGACGAACTAATTCCATCTCACCCAAACGTCACCGTTTTTGCAGTGGGACTCCCCAGTAGGATATGCCCAGCAAACAACGTGCAAAAGGGAATGCTTATTGGCCGATTTTCTGGGTCAAACTACTTCAGTTCTGCACGCAATGTGCTACGATCTGCTGTGGAAATGCTAACCCCTCCCCAACCGTATTCATCACTTGCTGAAATACCTCGCACATGGTTGTGCTGCAGATCTGGTCAGTTCTTCTTCCGACCTACATCCACATGATCACAGAAGAGCATCTTCATCGCCATACTGCTGCTGATGTTAGGTATCAAGCCAAATCATTGACCAGGGCTCCTCAACTTTGGATTGGTCACCGCACGCTCCATAGTTAACAAAATGGTGCTGATCCATGATCTGATCAACGATTGTGGACTCGACATATTGGCCACTACCAAAACTTTGGGATATGACAACTCACCGGGCGTAATTAAGCATGAGGCTGCACCGAACGGATATGCTATTGTACATCAGCACCGTTGCGGAAAGCCTGGCACCAGCAGCACACATAGTGGTGCGATCATACTGGTTTACCATGAAGACATCTGCGTGAAATTCCAGAGCGACTCATTATCTGTCACCACATTCGAGCTGCTGCTTGTGAAAGTAACGAACACCATTTAAGGGGCTTACGGTCGCTGTCGTCTATCGACCGCCAGAATTCTTTCCCGAGCTTTCCGGTCTCACCACATCATCTGTGGTGACCTGAACTATCCTCGACCGACTGGTTCTTGTGGTAAAATCAACAGTGATCTCGCCGAAATTATCGACAGTCACAGCTTAACCCTGCACGTCTGCGGCGCAACATGTCACTCGGGAAATATACATGATCACATCTTCACATCCGCGAATGCCGTAACTGTGACCAAAATCGTTATCGAAGACGTGGGTATTTCACATCACAATCTGTGGTTAGAAATGTTGGTAGAGGTGAGAGAGTTTGAAATGGGAAAAGTGGGATTAAGGAGAAAAAGGAGAGCAAGGGTGAGAGGTGTGAGAGAAAAACAAGGAGAGAGATAGGGGAGGGAAGTGGTTAATATACATTAGAGGGAGGAGAGAGGACAGGGGAATTGAGAAACAGAGACAACGTGATAAATCAAAATTAATTGCGATAGTACAGAGAAGACAAGAGAAAGATGAAGAGGCAGGGATCTATGTAAGAATACAAGTTTTGCTGTTTGGTAGGGATTGACAGTCACTTCCAAAAGGACTTGCTGGTTATTTATCATAAATGAAGTCATTCGATGGAAGTGCATCGATGGTGAATTTCTGTATAAGTAGTTTGGTATTTTATTGCTCAGGAGTTAAGAAGAATATGACCACGTTCGGACGTACAAACACAGCACGTTCAACTCTGATTGGTCAGAAGCAGCCACAGGCATACTGAACGTCACAACGTGGTACATTTGCCTTTGTTTTTCACTGAAAAGATAACGATGTAGCCCTGCAATTATTTTCTCATGCCACTGCTGACGGAAAGGCCTCCACTAGAGGAGATCTTGAGGGTAATTGGTCCACTCTTCTAAGCTGACCATGTGTATTGGTAGAGGCGGGCGTACCCACCCTCTCCCCCACTATATGAACCTCTGTGTGGTGGGGTAAAGGTGTAAATGAGTTTTCCCGAGAGGCGTCCGTTTCAACAAGGGTAGGGTAGGTCTTTATTTTCAGCCCAGCAGCACTCCGCCTTGGTCGTCTTCTTCAGTCTTGTCCCAAGCCCCCAATCACACTGTGTCTTTACGTGGACAGACCCACCTGCTGTTAATTAACTCAACGTGTGCGTTGTGGTGCCACGACCGGGGAGCAACTCCGCAAGCGCCACAACTCCCTCCCAGCCCCTGCACTGAACACACACCCACACGCAGCGCACACTCATAGTGTCCTGGCGGGGGATTGCCTGGCACATCGAGTTTTAATCCGAAGGGCGCCTAAAAGGGAAGTCCCACGATTTCCCCGTGCCAGGAGATTGACTGACCCTCGCAGGACAGGTTACATTGCGGTGCCCCTAAATTTGGCTTAAAATTGTATGGGCGCAGCCAGAAAAGGTTCACTGGGCCAACCGCTATGAATTACATCATTGGGGGGAGGACTGAGGGTGAATATTAAGCAAGAGGAGCGTAAGGTCAGGAGAATTGCTGCACCACTGCTGCCCCCATCTCAGCCCCAAACCCGATACACACTCGCGGGGTGTATGTTTGCCAGCCGGGCGCCCTTCCAGACATTGGGCAACGAGGGACAATTGGTGGCCGGCACTGCTGCTGCAGCACTCGAGGACGGACACGGTAATACGGGGGCAGTAACCACATGTAGGCACACATTTGGTCGCGCGGGAGAAACGCCATCCTGGCCCTTTGAAGTGGGGAGATTAGGCCACGGTAGAGAAGGTCCAAAGGCGCGACGGCGTGGGTGAAGCACGATTGGCTGCGTAGTACGACGTCAGCCTGGACCTTTTTAAAAAGAGTAGCCCGGGCCAATTTTCGGTCTCTTGTCTGCAACCTTTGGGCCGTTAAAACCCACTCCCTGCCATCCTGTCTCTTTGAGCCGCTCGCAGCATCCGGGGTAATGCCAGCTAGTGCTGCTACGAGGCAGTGATTGGTAAAGTTTTCTCTCGTCCTTCTCCCTCCGACTCTCACAGCGTCCGTGCAACGCCATGAGTATATGGGGGCCGTTGGCCCCCGGGGTCCCTCCCGCCTGCATCCCCTATTCCGTTTATGTTACCCCACCTCCCTATTCCCCGCTACGGTTTCGCCGACATTCGAACGCGACGCCCCTACTGTTACAGCCTCGCGCCGCGCTCCCACGCTGCGAGCATACGTGCACACAGCATCATCAATCAAACGCCACACTCCCCCTCTTTACACCGCTACGTACAGCTCTCGCACACTGCGAGCGTGTGCCCGTCTATAGCCCGGTGCGGCACTCGCCTCCACGTCGAATAACCACGTTACCAATGCGCATCCGTATCCGACCCATAACGGACGTATGCGCACTCACGCACACAGCTCCCCGCGGCACTCACTCACCACTGAATACTCGCGTTATGATCGCGCACCTGTATCACACACGGGGTGAACACACGCGACACCCACTCTCGCACCGCTCTGCGCAGCACTCCCCCGAGGCGAGCCGCAGCACTACAGAACCACTGTGTACACACGCTCACCCGCGCGCTCAGCTCCGCGCAGCGCTCACTCACGTGGCGAACCACTGTGCACACAGCGCACCCACACGCTCACACTGCTTGACAAGATCACGCAAGACCACGCTTCGCTATTAATGATTTATTATCCGCTACCTGGAACTAGATGTTAAATCAGTGAGTCGACGAGGCTGGCCTACGCTGATACCTTTATACCTATTTCCGATTTATCTGCTTACGATACCCTGTCACCTTGCTACTCACGGGTCGAAGTATTCGGTCGTCCTGTGGCTTTTCCTCTATGCCGTCGGGGCACGTCGCGCGGACGTCCGGAGGCAGAGCTGGGAGCCGACTTGCACGCGTGCCTCTTGAAGAGAAGTCAGGAGAGAGAGAGCCTCCCTACCTTGCTGCGCTCCTTTTTATCCTAATTCCCGGACTCGGGCCCCTACCCCCTTCCCACATACCGTGCGCCTTCGATATGCTAATCAATGTCCTGCCCGCGCGGCGCAAACTCCAAACAATGGCTCGCGCACCTCTTGCACGCGCACGGCGGCTCCGCGGCGCCCCTGACACGCCAATCAATGTCCTGCCCGCGCGGCGCCAACTCCAAACAATGGCTCGCGCACCTCCTGCACGCGCACGGCGGCTCCGCGGCGCCCCTGACACGCCAATCAATGTCCTGCCCGCGCGGCGCCAACTCCAAACAATGGCTCGCGCACCTCTTGCACGCGCACGGCGGCTCCGCGGCGCCTCCACGGCGCTTTTGATATGCTAATCAGTGTGCGGCGTGCGCGGCGTAAATCTCAATTAATCCCTTACCCTCCCTAACAATGGGGCCTGCGCGCTCAAGCGCAACCATCCCAACCTTTCGTGACTATGCGCAAGAGTCCCTGCGGTCCTGCTACTCATGCTATCCCGTCCTTCCCCTGCTTGTCTCGTCGACCCGTGGGGGTGTGTGTGGGGGGAAATGCGCCTCAACCGCGGTGGCCGAATGCCCCACGCCGCGACCACACCATATTAAGGCCGGTCGCAGCGCCGCGGCGCAACGTAGCACGGGGGAGGTCATCCAATTCCCTGATCGCCGGAAACCGTGAGAGTTAATCCCGATAAGGGTTTCTCGGATAAAAACAGGTCGGCCAGGCGACCTCCCCTCGGAGCTCTGTGGGGGGGAGGGAAATGCGTGCGGGTGTGTTCATGTGAGGTGAGGTGAGGGGGACAAGGGGTTGGCTCCGTTGCTTGGTGGTGGCGAGGTCGGGGATGGGGCGCCTGCCGAACGGCTTCGTGGCGGCAGCATCACAAGTACAGCTTCGAGGTAACTGGCTACGTCGGAAGAGTTAGGCTAGGCTCGTCTCACAAAATATCCCCCCCCCAGGTAGTGTGTATTTGCGCCGCAAATAAAACGCTAGTACAGAACATCGGTGTGGTGTCTGCGATTTGCGTGTGGTGTGACTGGGTGGGACACGGTGTGCACGAGAGAGCGTAGAGCTGCAGCGTGGGCGCACGTGCCGAGGGATAATCGCCCGCGGGTGCGTTCGCGGCTTTGCGTTAGTGTTGGCTGCGGCGCGTACGGGTGAGTGAGGGCTAACTCTGTACGGCGTCAAGCCAGTAGCTGAGTTATGTCTCTCCGAGAGGGAGCTAGTGCGGGAGGGCCGATCACACGATCGGCGGAGGCCCGGCGGGAGATGATCGATGCGGTGGAGGAGGGAGTGGAGGGGGAAAACGTTGCGCCCTACCTGCCCAGCGAAGGCGGTGGGGCAGACGTCGGCCACCACAAATTCCCCCTTAAAGTTTCCCACGCCTTCGTGGCCAATGTATCTCAACCGTTTCTTTTATGCTAATAGCCGTAATACATTTTTTTTAACAACTCCACATTGGACTCTTGCTTATATATACGCTCTATGTCATTTCACTGCATCTGTCACATCCGTAACGTTTAACGGCTCTTTAGTAGTTGTTTGCTTCGCCCCGACAAAACATTAGCGTCTGCGCACATGCAACATATCATCAGGCTGCTTTCTGTTCCCATTACACTACTATACACGACACTACTTTACAATACACCATACACTACACTACTTTACAATACACTATTATACACAACACACTACTGTACACTACACGATACACTACTATACACTACTATTCAATACACTACTATAGACTACACTACTATACACTACACATTGGGCTCCATGGAGGCCCGCGATTAGTCGTTAACAGGGGTGGTCATTAAGAGGCGTTCTTCTGTACCAATACACCTTTAACGTCTGCAAAAAAACAACGTGTCACCAGGCAGCTTTCTGTTCTCAGAATTGACGTCATTTCTGCAAAGAGGAAGCAGCCCGACTGTGCCTCTTTACCCAGAAACTACGTGATGCCTCTCCAAACACACCCGCCCCATTCGCACGCTCACTCCGTATGCGACCACCACGCCAGGTATATAAACAGAGCGGCAGCGCTGAGTGCCTCCTGAGCTCTTTCTGTCGCCCGCACGACCGCCACGGACTCCTGCTGCCAAACCGCTAAAAAGGTAAGCGACGCTTACACTCTCGACACTCAAACGAGTTTAAACTATACACGTGATTCATTCGGGTACTCTTGGACGCAAAAAAAAACGGATGCATTCGTTCGGAATAGATTTTTGTTTCTCACGTGAGTGCGAACGCAATAAAAAACGCAAACTTATTTACATTGCCCCGCATGTCACTCCCCATACAAAGCATGCACAATACAAATTTAATTATTAATTGCAATAGAAATCAGTCTTCCGGTTATTGTCCACCTTGCCTGTTATTTACCAACTCGCTCTTAATCGTACAGGAAGAGAAAAACATGGATCCACACGAAGCTATTGGAAATGCATTTAAACATGCATTGAACAGTGTAAGTAAACACAATGGTATTTACAGTACTCCCATCGCTGTTTCTGAAAACAAATCGCTTACACAAAGTTTTGGTTATCATTTGTCTTCTTAACATAAACAAATATGCTGATAAAGGAATCACCACCGACACAATTAGAGCAAAACTGTGGTACGAGGTAAGCGGGCAATAACGTGGGATACTTTCGAGATGAAGACAGGTCGACCTCGGCTTTCGTCATTTTGTTTCTTGTAGACCTACTCAGCCGATGTGAAATGTACGGTTTAATACTGTTTGTGTTACAGATGCGGTGTGAATTGGAACCAGCAGTCCAGATATTTCACCGCACCTGCAATGCTTCTTATGGAAACATGTTACCTCTTTCAATCTACATGCAAGATATTTGTCAAAGATTACAAAAAAACGACAAAAACTACAGAAAATGTATTATAAGCATTTACGATCTTATTAATAATATTCCTATAACACATAAGTTAGTTTCCGCCATAGCTGAGAAAGTTACTGAGAATGAAATATCAGTAGAAGAGGCAGATACATTCTTCAAGACAAAGATAGCTGACATTAAGCAATCATTGACCAGAACCATCGTGGTTCATGAAAACCTTCTTAAAGAATACAATCGGACAACCAAGCGTGTTACTGAACGGCGCAACAGAGATGCACACGTTGCCAAAGAAGCAGCAGAAGAAACAATGGCGAAAATATCAACAACTGTTGCAGCATACCTATCAGCGACATGTGATACCTTAATAACCGTCGCGAACATATTCGGAGGGGGAATCCTCGACGAGGCCGACGTCCCGTATAATAACGAGGTTTTAGATGAAAAGGATCAGGCGTTTTCAAAATGTATTCAACACATGGAAAACCAAACAACAGACATTTTAACGGTGCTGGAAGCCCTTCGTAAAGTGCGTGACTCCTTCAGAAACCTGTGAAAAAATAATCTACAAACAACCTTGTTGAGATTGTGTATGAAGTCGAAAAAAACCTCACTGCGCAAATATCAAAAAGGATACCGGAGTTTTGAACGAAATACCTTATAAGAAAGAAAGTAATAAATGTTTAAAGACTAATAAAACTACTGGTGCAGAAAGATGCACTTTTTGAGCGCCCATGGCTACAACTGATATACTCAGAGGCGAAGGTTTCAATTTTACTCTGCAGATCATAGCGAGTCAAATGTTTTGACGATTCGCAGCTTTTAAGGAAATAATTTAGAACTTCAAGTTTTGTATATTGTGGGGGTATTCTCGAAATAAAAAAAATCAGTGGCGCAAGCCTCCTGTCATGACAATTTACGTATCGTTATCTGTATGAAACTGTCCAAGGCTATGAACACATCCTCTGCATCGTGCAATCCATATGTTCAAATGCTCTTTTGAACATCAGAATAATAATATTTATCCTGGAGGAATCCGATGAGCGATGAAGCCCTTTTTCACAGATGTCCAGTAGGCGAGGGTCAGATAGTTATAACACATATAGGAAAGGTAAGCAAGTCAATAAATGTTTAAAAAGATCAGCATATACGTTTCAATTGCATAAGTACATCAATTCCTTCCGATTTTTCAACACTAAATGCAAGCTTGGGCAAGGTCGCAAAAAAAAAGTCCCAGGCCCCACCAAGACATCACACAGTCCCTCAATAAAATTGCACATTCAAATGTAGCTATCCATACATACTCTTTAGTTCTTTCGGTAAAGTCACGTAGGTAGAAAAATTAAATAAAAATAACAAAATACATCACGGCGTTTCGATCGCAACGCAAGCGATCGTCTTCAGGCGAAAAAATCCAGCAGTGGAACTGCTGAACCAGAAAGAACACAGCGAGAGAGTTGCTACAACAAGGGGTTATATATGTTTGATGGTGGGTGCAGCCCAAGGGCATGCAAGCGGAGTCCGAACTGGAAAGGCGTCCCATCCCCGCACGCAAGGACATCAGTTGTGTTAATGGGGAGATTAGGGAGAGATATTAGGGAGAGAGATTAGCATGTCAAAGTAAATTAGCTACCGTCGCCGCACATGCGCACAACAGCAAAATGTTAATGGGAGATTAGCACTATGCTAATGGTAGAGATTAAGGAGAGATTAGGGAGATTAGCAAGTTAATGTCATGTCTATGTGTAACACAAGCTGCGACGCTGGCCACTGAGCTGTGAGAGGCAAGCGCGTCAACGTAAGAGAACCACCGCAACGGTGGCCGTGCCAGTGCGACACGGCTCTCATGAGTAAGGATTTGCCAATTTGTTTGTATAGCAGCCCTAACATTCTGCTTCAGGTAATTATTTAAGGAAGATTCATGACGTTAAGGAAGGAAGCAAGGTTCCAAAACGTCGGTGCTGCAACGGCAAAGACTTTGTCACCTATTCCAATTCTTGTTCTTGGGATAGTTAAAAAGGCAATTAGATGGATGCCTTAGGTTTCTTGGGTTTTGAAATTGATCTTTCAGACAGCTCTGTCTTCACCTGAGGACGGCTGCTTGTGTTGTGGCCGAAACGTCGTGAGAATTATTTTATTTTATTATGTTTTATTTTTATTATTTTATTACTTCCCTTCTACGTGACTTTACCGAAAGAACCAAGAAGATGAATCCCTGCAGTCACGAAAGCTTTTAATCGAAATTTTGAAATTGAGTTAATAAGTATGAGCGCAGATTTGCTAATCAGGATTTTACGGATGAACAGGACCCAATGTAGATTTCTTCTTGCATCAAGTGATGTGAGATTGGATTTTTAAGTCGAGGTCAATATGGTAGGTCATGTATGGTACATTCAGTGCAAATCGAAGAGCAGAATGATATAGTGTGTTTAATCTGTCTAGTGTTTCATTAGTATAATATGTTTTACCAGTTCCAAATTGGATAGAATATTCAGATTGGGAAACCCGTTTGTTTTACTAATTACTTCACTATAGCGTACTTTTTATGATTTCCTTTATTGTTAAAAGGTCGACAATATAACACGAAATATATATCACAAACGTGCTATTATACGCCAAAACTAATTCCTTGGAATATGCAATTATTTTTGAAAGCGTATATAAATATTGTATGTAGGCTTTAGAATAATTAAAAACAATCTAAACCAAGACGGAATCAATTACTTGGAAATCTCACAGTGATTCAAACTCGTGATGCCAACTTTGTAAATACCGTTAATTCGGAAAATCCATTAAAAAATATCCTGATAATCGCAGAAATTAGTTTTGATCGCAGAAGTTGCCTGATACACCATGATCATGAAACAGTGACTTAATTAATGCATTCTGAAAGATGCCTTTTTCGTATGGCTCTTCTCGATTGCCCCTATACTGGCGTAGCATTGTCTTTATTTTGACTTTTTACTCTCATATTTGATACGTAGCACTTGAACAAAACTGCTTAGAAATGTGTTTTTGTTTTATTCCAAAAGTATGGAGTTTTCTGCAGACGCATAACTCGATATGAAACAATATTTTACAATTTTGTCAGAATTTACAACATTGTCACAAACCTCGCTTATCTCATAAAATTCAATGTTTTATATATATACAGTAGATCAATTATCTGGCGGCTTCGGTGTAGGAACGGGGCGCCGGATTTTCAAAAACGTCAGATAATCACATTATTTAAAATAGCTTATTTTGGTACATTCTTGAATAACATGTTTTTAGGTGTTATTGATGTGTTTTTTGTTTCAAATTTGTTTACTGTGGAATTGGCATAAACAAATATACGAATACACAAAAATAAATATCCACTCTAAAGAGTTACTGGATTTACTGTGCTGTGCTTACCACTCCAATCTCGAAGACTCTGCATGGAGTGATGTGATTAGGGGAGTGTTGTATACTAACCCTTCTTCCAAAATTGAGATTAATAATATTTGATGATATTTTTTATATATTATCTTTTTACTTGTTTTTTTAATGAATGAAACACACCAAAAGCGCAGCAAACTGCAAAACACCAGGTGTTGTTAAGTAATGAACTGGAGGAGGGCTAGGATGGCAGAATTTGCAACCTTGCTTCAAGGAAAGATAAGGCCTGATGAACGGGCACATGTCACCCTGCAGGCGGCAGAGACAGTGGGAGTGTCAGCCAGACATAGTTAAGGCAAAAAGCCCAACCATCCTGCATGGTTTTAAAGTAACGTCAAAATTCGAAATTCAACAACAGAGTAGGCTAAATTATCGATCCTCGCGCTCGCTCAAATTGGAGACCAGGCTGCGAGCTACATCAATGAACCATTGCCCATTTGCTAATCCAATACTGAATGTTAATATTACTGAAGTCAAAACGAATTCTATGACCTCAGCACATGGGCAAATAATAGGGCAGTGTCGACTCAAAGGCAATGGAAGAAACAGAGGCGCCTTTGTCTAAATCACAACCACAGAAAGCCAGGAATCATCACTGATTGTGTGTTCAGGGATTCCGAGCTAGTTAGAACACGTGCACAGGGGGGGAGCTGATGTAAACAACCCTGTGCGTCTGGATGTGAGGGGGCCTTTGACCTGAAAGTAAGAATAACACTCCCAGAGCAGAAGGTTGGATGACCACAGTGAGACGAGAATAAGAGTGGTGTATATCTCTCAAGGAGGCAGACCCAGCTGAACAACAAGGCTGCGGGGTCACCAGAAGTTCGCATTCGCCTAGTTAAGACAAAAAGCTCAATTATTCTGTATTGCTATTAAAGTAACGTTAAAGTCGGAATTTAACAACAGGGTAGGCTAAAGTTATCGATATTCACACCCACTCCAATTAAACCAGGCCACAAGTTACGCCTACTGAACCATCACCATTATTAAGTCAATATGAAATGTTATTTCCATACTTCAATACTTTCTATACAATTCGACCCGAAGCATATGACAATCAGAACCTTCCTAAGTCAAAATTGAATCACACCCAGACAGGAGCGAATAGTCGATATAAGGTTGAAGAGGGAAGGAAATTAAGAGCACGGCGAACTGCAAACGTAAGCAAAAAGCCGGGAACGACCAGCCCAGCAACAGCGAGTCGGGCTTCGACAGGCCATAAAAAGTAGAAATAATAACTCCCGAGGTCAGGGGACACAAGAAGAAGCAGGCAGACAAAAACCAGAACTGACTCCAAGGTTCAACCGCCCTCACACACAAGGAGTGACGGAAATTAATGAGGCCTTGAGTTAACGACGTCAGCTGGACAGCAACAACCACGGCGAGCAGAGATAGGGTGGGGCAAAGACTGCGGGGCTATGGAATGCAACTTCGTGTCAGTAAAGCCCTGACAAACAAGTTAAGTTAAAGACATCACAATACATAATATCGTACATAACATCAATGTTAACGCTATTCACCGTAAACTATATTCCGCTTATATAACCATGCAGACACCAAGGAATACGAATTCCTAGGATCAAGAAACTTACCCCTTAACCTAAGATATCGGAAATAAATTAATAGTAATAAGCACATGCATGAAAAGACAAAAGTAAAACTTATGGAAAAGCCAGGATAACGGGATGAATCACCACCAGGTCGAATATAAATACATAATAAAAAAAAAACGATGTTAAACCCAGGGTCGGAGAGAAAGGGAGATCCCGGCCGTCTTTGTATCCCCGCAGCGCGGGATAGGAGTGTGTATACGCTCGGGGAAACACCTCCACTTGAGTCAAGCACCACGATGGGAAACGACAGACCTTAGGTTACATACAGAATCATAACTGTGAAATAGTAAGGGACAAATGTTAACTTAAAACTTTTTAACCATTTCTTTGTGCGCCGGGTCGGAGAGAGTGTTGCCCCTCCCTCCAGGTTGTGCAACACGAACAAAGACGCCTATGAGACGATTTGTAACGTCTGTGTTTTGGGTTCATGAAGAAGGCCAGACAAGAGATAATATTGCACCCAGACAGAGAGACGACTTCGAGGCAATTTGTAACATCTGATTGTTTGCTCGTGGGTTTTATGGAGGGAGTGTGACAACGGAATATTCAGTGAGTGATGCACACAAGGACATACGGACATACGGACACACACATGGACACACCTGCCTACGGACAAATCCTGACAGCAAAAATCGAAAGAAGCCCCGCCTTGTGGGCGGGATCCAGGGGGATTTTTCGGCATAAAGGAAAGGATCCTGAGCCTTGGAAACCAGTGCGACCAGCGGGTCGGCTCACGTGGGGAGTGCGACCAGCGGGTCGACTCAGGAGTGCGACCAGCGGGTCGGCTCACGTGGGGAGTGCGACCAGCGGGTCGACTCAGGAGTGCGACCAGCGGGTCGGCTCACGTGGGGAGTGCGACCAGCGGGTCGACTCAGGAGTGCGACCAGCGGGTCGGCTCACGTGGGGAGTGCGACCAGCGGGTCGACTCAGGAGTGCGACCAGCGGGTCGACTCAGGAGCGAGCCCGACCGGGAGGGTCGGCTCAGGAGCGAGTGCGACCAGCGGGTCGGCTCGACTCATCTTCAGCTCGTCTGGGACTCAGCCGAGTTCGATCGGCTTACCAAAGCCGGCTCTCGGGGCTCGACTCAAGCGGCTCCCCATCTCCTCTGCAGGCGGGCAAGACCCGCTTGACAGCTCAACTCGGCCTGCGTGGGTCAACCTCTGCCGAGTCGGAGGTCTCTGCTGCCGCCGGAGTGGTGAGGGTCGCGGTTTGGCGACGAGGCTCCGTGCACACGACGACCCCACCACTGCACGCTGCGAGCGAGTTGTGGGCGCCACCTACCGACCGGGTTCCGAACTGCGACAGCGTATCAACGGGCATCCGAACCAGTTCCCCACGGTGACAGGGGAGCGACTGATACGTATGACGCGCACCGCCCCCTCACCACACGACCACCAGGCGTCTGTTTGACATAAAGAATCGACTCCGAACACTGACTATTCAAGACAACTCTTACCACTCAAACACACTCGAACCCATAAGCCATCTGTGGCTGGGAAGGCATCACAACGAGACCGAGTGATGGCCATCCGTCGTTTATAAGAGTATTCGTAATTTGTATCTTTAATATTTAGTGGGCTGTACTCTTAATCGCATAAATTCCCAACAGATCCATCAATACGAACTGATTCTTGGCACCTCCTTCCGCCGAGCCACGCTCACGTGGGGAGTGGTGGCCCACCGGATCCTTATCAGGTGATCTGGTCCCCAATTAGTAAACTTGGTATAAGATAACGATCTTCGGAAAAGGAGCACCGTTGCAGGCCCTTACTCCGAGCCG